TGATGTGTATTTGTATGTAAAGGATACAACGGAAGACATTAGCTTTTCTGGTACTTTATGTAGATGATATGCTCCTTATTAGAAACAATGTGGAGGTAATATCAAGCATAAAGAGTTGGCTAAGTTAGTGTTTTGGTATGGAAGTACTGGGGAAGCCAATTATATTCTTGGTATAAAACTCTTATGAGTCCGGAAGAATAAGTTGTTGGCATCACCTCAGGCTACTTACATTGACAAAACCCAAAATTCAACATGAGAATTCTAAGAGAAGAATTATAATTCTCAGATGTGGAATTCATCTTCCTAAGGAGTGACCAAAGACTTCTAAGAAGGAAGAATGCATGAGCAAGATATCTTATGCTTTGGCAAAGGTAGACTCATGCATATCATGTTGGGCGTTAAACCAGACATCTGTCACGCAGTGGGAGTAGTGAGATAGTACCATTTTGAACCTAGAGGAATACTAGATTATTGTTAAGCATGTACTCAAGTATCTTTGGAGAACGAGAGATTATATGCTGGTTGGGAGTCTTGAAAAGCTGAGTTTTCAAAAATTCAGTTATTTCAAGTGGATATTGACTCAAGAAAATCAACCTCGAGCTATGAGTTTTTCACTAAACTCAGATAGCATTAGAGGTGGATCTTGCAGACCCAGTTACTAAGAGTTTGCCTGAACTTGTGTTCGAGAGGCATGTTACTTCTTTGGGTCTTAAGAGGATCCCAGACTTGCATTAAGCAAGTGGGAGTTATTGGTTTCATTGTGCTCTTGGAGTAAGACCATGAAACAATAAAATAATTTTCTGAATTTCATAAATAAGGTTTTATTTATTTATTTTGCGCACTATTTACAAACATAAAGGTCCGGATCAAATTGTGGAGTATATGATCATATGGATACGTTCATGGAGGACATGATCATAGGTTCTCACAATTGATGAATGGATTCACAGCTGTTAAATAAAGTTGGGCACTTTATTTAGGCTGCAATATTTTATGAAATGGTTTTGTCCGAATCATTGGAAAATATTGGTGTGAATTAACATTCACATTGAAAGGATCAAGGAGAGATTTGATTAAGGTTGTTTTTCTGTCATAAGGTATCAAATCTCCAGTTAACTATAGTTATGTGATTGCTCTTAATCCTGAGTTTATTATAAATAGGTAATCAAATAGTTTTCATTCTTTGATTTACCAACGGGTGAGGTTCGATCTATTGACGGCCAATAACTCGGTATTTTGGGAGTGAGATTATTTGATTATCGGTATTTATGAGATAAACAACATGGAATTTGTAGGATATGTCCCCTTGATATGTTTCGGTACTTGGATATTAAAGACACTGGCCAGTGCATGTAATCCATTAAAGAAACTATCATAGTCAAGGGAATAAATAATTGATTGAGTTACAGAAAACTTGTCAATCAATTATAGACATTCTACAAAGGGGCGATGCATATTCATGTTATAAGTGTTGTTAATCTTGGAGTTCAAGTTCGGGCTTTTAGTGGAGTAGCACCGAATTAGATAATCATTCGTTGATTATCAGGAGCCTTGATTAATAACAGATGGTAGATCCCCAAGCTAGCTTGAGACAAGGGATGGGGTATTTTTCGGATAGATGATGACTTATGGGTTACATGATCTTGGGTTTTACGACTCAAGTTTGTATCCAAAAGAGCAAGTGGGAGATTGTTGGGTTTGCTCCTTTACTAAAGCCCAAATGGGTTATTAGTATGAGAAGAGCCCAAGGAACCTAGAGCCCAATGAGCTAAGGTTTCTTGGAACCCATATAAATAGTACCTCTTAAGTCATCAGCCTCCAAGGTCTTTTTTGTGAGAAAGAGGCAAGCTCTGAATCTAATCAGTGCCCACACACTTCCCCTTCCTCCTCGAGAGATAGTCTGGAAGATCTGCCACAGTCCAGCTTCAAGGAGGTTGTTCGTGCTGCGGCGCTGAGGTGAGCTGTTCGTGAAGAGTACACGAGACCTGCGCACCGAGAGGTAATTGTGAAACAAGGATGATTCGGTAAGCATACCAATGTACTAGGTCCTAAACCGCTTCCGCATAAATCTAAGATTTCCTTCAAATATCAATATTTGATACCCAATATATCCCCACGCTACCCAATATATTTGTATTTATTGCATTATATTTTGTTTTTTTCTTTCTCCTTTCTCCTTCTACATAATCTTATCAGATTACTATCAAGTGCTCATCAAACACAGAACATGATATAGACTTATCAGTCTCATATCATATCTTATCCTTATTAGGCCTATATCATATCCTACCCTTATTTTATCATATCCACCAAACGAGCCCTTAAGACTTTTCGCAGCGTAAATCCTTTGTACTTTTTGCTCTCTTTTAATAACCAAGTTCATTAGCTTATATAGTTCATTGTATTCAGGGATTGATGAACTAAGGTAGAGTGTACAAGTTCTTTAATAACCAAGTTCATTAGCTTATATATTTCATTGTAAATATATTCTCCAAAAAAAAAAAAATAGTTCATTGTAAATATTGAGGACTGTTTTGGTTAAGGTAAATTACTTCTGTAAGAAAATTGTTAGGACTGGTTTCATAATCTAAACCATTTGGTTTGATAATCTTTGGCATAACATTTAGTTGTGTAAGCATTAGATGACCTTGAGTAACTCTTTTTCTTATATATATATATATATATATATATATATATATATATATATATATTATCAGCACTGAGAGTCTGAGACATTCACAAGGAAATAAAAGTTTCGAATATTTCTATAAATGATATGAGTATGACATTCACAATGAAACACTAGTCAGATAAGGACCTGCAGAACCGAAACCACTCAAACATATATACACCTTTTGATTAAGTTACTTTTAGAAAAGGGGACCCAGAAATTTGACTCGCCTCTCACTCAACTCTAACAGCAAGAGGGTTATAGTAGGGGCCGGACCCGGCAATCACTCCAAAACCAGTAAGGAATTCAATTCTACTGTTTCCAAACCTGACAATAGTGCCTTCAGCTTAAGTACATAACACAGTCATCTTCATGAACCTCTCAAAGCCTCAAGGTCAATTGGTCCCTCATCTAGAAGCCAGTACATCCCATGTGGGGGAAATCATCCTTTCTTTAACTTAAACAAGTAAATATTACGTTATTTGCACCCCTTTTTTCCCCACACATATTATATGCAGAATGCAGTTATACATACGGTAATATTATTTATATAGAGGCTATACTCTAACCAAAAACATTTCATCTTGAGATATATAATCTCACATTGATTAGATGTACAACTAATGTGGAGTTTATAAGGCCTTGAGCACTCTCACCCTTTAAGCTAGCTTTTGGAACGGTACATCCTAAGATTCTTTACACACTCTAATAGATTCTTTACAAAAAGATGCTTTAAAAGATGAGAATAAGCACACCACCACTTCTATATTTGTGAATTGACCAAATGCCAAAAATTTGATGGGTACGTGTAATGCCTTATCATATACCACACAGAAAACTGATACCTGTGAAAGTGTTATGTGAATATTTCTCCACTTTTTATCCAGTAATATATTATGCTTATTTTGTCTTTTAAAATATTTGATCAGTTTATATATATATAGGGAAAGGTTAATATTGACAAACTTTTTTCTTATAAACTTACAAATTACACTAAGTCTGACAGACTTCAATTAAGAATGTATGACCAGTCAGACTTAATGCAGTTTGTAAGAAAAAAAATTTGTCAATATAATCTTCCTCATATATACATATATAGGATCAAGATCATTTTATACCGATGTAAAACTAATAATTTCTTACACCACATTTCAATCGTTGATTTTCGTGCATCCAATGATTATAATTTAGAAAGTTATACGAATTAATTAATATTAATTTAATCATTAATTACATTACAAATACCAACCGATGATTTTTGTCCATCAACGATTGAGATGTGGTATAAGACTTATTATTCTTACACTGGTGTAAAAAAAACATGCTCCATATATATATATATATATATATATATATATATATATATATATATATATATATGAGACATAATAAGAATAATATATATATATACGGGACATAATAAGAATAATAAGTCTTACACTAAATCTTAACTGTTGATTTCCGTAAATCTAACGATTATAATTTATAAAATTTAATAATTAATTAATAAATGTGACTATAAATTATAACCGTTAAATTCATGAAAATTAACGATTAATATTTAATATAAAATTTATTATTCTTACACAGATTCGAAATTATAGTTTCCATGACTTTTTAAATGATATTTTTTAACACACTATTCATTATTGAGTAATTAAAGTTCTAAAATAAAGAATGAATCTAAACTATTTAGTAGGACTCACGTGAAATTTACTTGATAATAAAAATGGTGTTAAATAATATATTGTTAATATTTTTCTCTAACGTTATATTGTTCCACATGTAAATTTATAAAAAATCTTAATCAACGAAATTAGTAGAAAATAAAAATGGTAACACAACAAAACTAATTAAATTGCTTTTTTTTATTACATTCTTGTGCAAGAATTCGTTCGGCGTACCAATCTTTTATAAGAATTGATATAATCTAAATATTATATCACTTCTATGATCTGCAATTAAAGTCATCAAATAAAATCATAAAAGTAAAACTCACCATTCAGCATGACTATTTTAGAACGTTGAGACATTTATATTCTCTACTCTAAACCCACTAAAATAAAGTTATACAGTACTGTTAGTTGAACTTGTTAACAAAACTCAGAAGGAAAATGTTTGGTATGCATTCATCAGAGTCACATCACTTAATATCTAAGGATATCCGCGACCAAGTATCAGATTGTCTATAAAAGGGGTCACCCCTTCAAAAGTACATTTGTCCATGCTCTTGTAAGCCTTTCCTTCTGCTTTCATACCCTTTCTCCCAAAACAGTATTTAAGATTCAAGCCCTTATCATCTTTTCTTACGAACAGAAGAAAAAAAATCATGGTATCAAAACCTGCTGGTTTCTATCAACATGGGAGCTTCTCATTTATCAAAAAAACCTTCATACTTGTACTTCTTAACTTTATACTTCACAAAGCTGACTCAGGCTGCAATAACTCTATTGTCACTTCTATGGTTCCATTATCACCCTATGAGATCCTCTCATCACTGCAAACACTACCTCTCGATGGCAACTTGAGTTTGAGGGACAATGGTGATGCTGCCAAAGACTTTGGCAAAATATACCATTTTCCTCCTCTAGCAGTGCTGCATCCAAAAACCGTTTCAGATATTTCACGGACCATAAAGCATATTTTTGAAATGGGATCAGCTTCAGAGTTGAAGGTTGCTGCTAGAGGCCATGGCCATTCCCTTCAAGGTCAGGCACTAGCACATGGAGGCCTAGTCATTAACATGGAGTCACTGCAGGGTCCTGAAATAAAAGTTCATGCTGGAGAATTTCCTTATGTAGATGTCTCGGGGGGTGAGTTGTGGATAAACATTCTGCATGATACTCTTAAACAAGGGTTTGCACCAAAATCTTGGACAGATTACCTTCATCTTACTGTTGGGGGTACTCTCTCAAATGCCGGAATAAGCGGGCAAGCCTTTAGGCACGGACCCCAGATCAATAACATCCTCCAGCTAGAAGTGGTCACAGGTAATACTCAAGCAGAATTTCTTTTCCTTCCACCCACCTAACAGGATTTTGTAGTAATGTTTTGGCCAAACACACAATATCTCAGATGGAGAGGTTTTGTTTTAGTTATTAGAAAGCATGGTAAAGTTGTTCCTGTTTTACCGAATGACCACAAGTTCAAATCTAGAAAATATTCTCTCTGTAAGGGTAAAACTGCATATAAGGTTTTCAAACTCCTATTCTTGCAAGTTGGGGTTCGGGTTGTTTTGTTAGATTGTATCATGTAGAACGAGAATAATATTTCGGGAATGAATCCTCTTATATGACACGAGATCACTTGATGCATCTCGATCGTCCATAGATAAATCAATGGTTATCCTTTTCTCACTTTGTATCCTAATACACTATCTATAGATGACTGAATTTGTCTTACATAATCCCATGTCACATATGAGAGTATCCATTCCCTTACTATTCCTATCTTTGGGGTGTGAATGCTGTATTCTATAAACTAACCATTTTGTGTGGCAATCAAGTTTGACTTTCACGACATTAATCTGGTTTGCAAAATACTTCGTTGTAGGTAAAGGAGAGGTGGTTACCTGCTCAGAGAACAGAAGAGCTGACCTTTTTTATGGTGTTCTCGGAGGACTTGGTCAATTTGGCATCATCACCAAGGCTAGAATTTCTCTTGAACCAGCACCGAAGTTGGTGAGTGTACATTCATGTTTCTGATATGTAGAGAAAACTTAAGCTCCCAACAATGTTTATTTATGACATAATCCTTGACTTTTGACAGGTGAAATGGATTAGAGTGCTGTACTCAGAATTCTCTATATTTGCCAGGGATCAAGAGTATTTGATATCACTTGAAAACACATTTGACTATATTGAAGGATTTGTAATCATAAATAGAACTGGCATCCTTAACAATTGGAGATTATCCTTTAACCCCAAAGACCCACTTCAAGCCAGCCAATTCAATTCAGATGGGAAGACCTTCTATTGTATTGAGATGGCAAAATACTTCAACCCAGATGAAGCTGAAGTCATGAGTCAGGTACGGCATGTTCAGAATTAGAGCACTAATTGTGTGAAACCAACAACACAGTCCCCATTGAAAAATGTTCTCATTTTCACCCATTCAAATGCAGAGTGTTGATCACCTACTGTCAGAACTGAGTTACATTCCAGTCACACTCTTCCTATCAGAAGTTTCTTACGTGGAATTCCTAGACAGAGTGCATGTCGATGAGAAAAAGCTAAGAGCAAAAGGCTTGTGGGAAGTTCCACATCCTTGGCTGAACCTTATAATACCAAGGAGTGAGATTCATGACTTTGCTGAAGAGGTATTTGGCAATATTGTTATGGACACAAGGAATGGTCCAATAATCATTTACCCTGTCAACCAAACAAGGTATCTTAGCTTGTCAAACTTGTGTACCGATTATATACTCTTCTTCACTTTTGTTCTCACGATTTGAGTCCTTTTTTTCTCCCTTTTGTTGTTCCAGGTGGGACAGTAAAACATCTCTGGTGACCCCAGAGGAAGATGTTTTCTACCTAGTGGCATTCCTATCCTCAGCAGTCCCATTTTCTACAGGTGCAGACAGTTTGGAATACATTTTAACCCGAAACAAAAGGATATTGGATTTCTGCACCAATGCCCAACTCAGAGTCAAGCAATACCTTCCACATTACAGCACAGTAGAAGAATGGCAAAACCATTTTGGGTCAAGGTGGGAGGCACTTGTGGAAAGAAAAACAGCCTATGACCCACTGGCACTGCTTGCCCCTGGCCATAGAATCTTTCAAAAGGCAATGTCTACCTCCTGTTAGTTTTGGACTGTAAAGTTGTATTTCTTTTCTTTTTTCTTTTTTCAGAAAAAAAATAAAGAATGCTTGCTACTTAGGACATAATTGAAAGATTGGCTAAGGAAAAACCAAGAATGAGATTTTAAGTAGTTTCTAAGAAATTATGAGAATAAATGTTAGTGCCAACCTTGAAAGAAAAAATAAAATATAACGAAAGAAAAGATTTATCAAAAGTAAAGTGAAAGTTTAATAACGAGTATATTTATCTTTTTTTGTTTTTTTTTTCAAAGTAGTTTCCAAGAAATTATGAATTTAAATCTTAGTATCACCCTTAGTAAGGAGAAATATAAGGCAAAGAAAAGGGTTATTATAAGGCGAAGATTTAATAAAGAAAATCGTTATCTTCTTTTATATTTTGTTCAACTATAAAGCTTAATAAAGAAAATCGTTATCATCTTTCTATTTTTTGTGTAATAATAACAATTAGGTCTTATTCTATTAAATTTCACCCAATATATCTACTCCATCAGCTATTATTTATTTATTTTCAAAGAATACATACTACGAAAAACAAATACTCATTCAAGAAGAAAGAGAAATAAATCATCTATTTTTTGCTAGCCTTCCCAAGGACAAACTAAACAGTAACTAACAGACCAACTATTTTTGCAAGAAAATCATTTAGAGGTAATATTACTAACAAGATATTTTTCAGCATCATGTGACCATTTGAATTTAACAAGCACCAGTTAATATTAGACAGAAACGCATTATGACCCCCCACCCCCAAGTTAAAAACAACAAAAAGTAGCCAACACTAGTGCATATAACAGCAACAATATTTATTCCCCCTTTGTAGCACCAGTCCAGCCAAGGCCAGGCCTACTTACTTCACCCTGTGGTTCTTCATAATCTCGTGCATCACGGATTGAAGCTTCAAAGTCAGTAGAATCACTGGCAACAGGAAGCAAGCTACTGATATCATCTCTGGCACCAAATCCTCCAGCCCGAATAACATCATCAGATGTTATGGATGCCTCCATGTTAACATCCCCAGATGCATCAATTTCCTTAAGTGTACCCTTTTGACAATTTTCTTCATCTTTCCAATCAGCTATCTTTGTCTCTGCAACATCTCCTGAGGCTCTTGTAAAATTTTTCAAAGCATCTTTGCCATCAATCTCAGAACGACTGGTGTCAGCAAATATGTCCTCCACAGGAGTGCTCTCATTATTATCCCTTGAACCTGCACTTACAAAGTCTTTAACAAGGGCATCACTAAGTAAAGGGGGTCCAATTAAATAAAATCCAATTCCAGATTATCCCAAAAGCAGTTTGAAACAAATTCAAATAAATGTATCATGCAGCGCAAGATCATCCCTCTATAATTAAAAATATACTATGCAGAAAGAAAATGTTGAAACAGGTGCTTACACCCACTTGAATTGATCAAAAAACTTATCCAAATATTAATTTTATTTATAGCCTTTGCAAATAGTTACATGACTTACATTTCACTTGAACAAATAGCATGCTGACAGTGTTCTAACACGCATTATACTACAGCTCCAAAGTCATAAACTTATTGCAATGAAAAAATACATATAAAGGAACTCATACTAAGACTTCAAAAGGCCAAAATAACAAAGAAAAGTGTAAAATAGTCTCCGAATGAATAGTCTAAAACAGGTTAGCATGTAATGCTTCACTCATTGATTCAATTCTTTCCTTCGAGTAAATAAATAAATTTGATTCCCTTACTTAAATTGTTATGATGTCTCAACCAATTTTCAAGGCTTCATTACATCTCTACAAACATTCGTTCATAAATTCATCAGAGTAAATTGATTGACATAATTTAAATTCCATATGGAAAAGTGCTTGAAGTGAGCTTCTTCAGATAAAAAAAAATTCAAAAAAATTAATGATAGCACTCACCATGCATCATTTTATCTGATTCGTACTCCATGGAAGATTAAAACTAGGGCTGAATCCTCCACATTCCACAAAATCTTCTGAAATCCTTAACCTGCAGAAAAAAGTAAATTCAAATAGAAGTAGTTTGATGTGGTACAATTACTATACGATAGAGAAGGAATTGAGTCTAATAGATGTTCAAATTCAAGATATTGTGTTCTTATAGGAGAAAACCTAGTTTCCTATCAGAGTAAGAAACAATATATATGGTTGTTAAGCAAGCATAGAAGAAAAATACAAAAATTTGAACTTGAATAGAAGAGAAGAATAAAGCAGAACCTGAACGAAAGTGAAAGTGAAACACAGATTCTGGAGTTTGCGCTGCCGTTTATGTGAAGCTCCGTGACCGGACGAGTGAAAGACACGAGCCACGTGGGTGTCTCATAGTCGATTACTCTTTAGTACTTCAGTAGTATGTACATGGGGTGTGACACATCAGCCCACAGATTTTTTTAAGGGGGTAGTTGAGGAGAAAATTTTTTAATATTAAGAAAATGTAATTGATAAAGAAATGATTGGAAAGTGAGTTTGGTAAGAAAATATAAAAAAAGTTGTTTGGTTGGAAACAAATTTAATCCGGCAAATTAGGTAAGATCTATGATGTCTATGTTTGATTTGAAGTACAATATAAATAGAGAAATAAGTGACAATTACAAAAATATCTCTGTTTCTAAATAACTGTAAATTACTCAAGATTTCATCCATAAACGCTATCAGCAAGCAACAAATGTTCAAGGTCAGCAAGCAACAAGATTTCATCCATATCTATGCACCATTCTTTGCAAAGTCAGCAAGGAGTGCATTGCTCAACGAAATGACAATAGCCGCCTATCTATATAAAACCACCTCCAACAATACTTTCTAAAAGTGTCAAAGTCTAGCATTTTTTCACAAAATTGAAAATGCTATGCATCATGGTTGCCCGGAGAATTAGCCAAATCTCTGTCTACCAAACAAGTGCAAAGTAGATTGCCAACTTCATTTGCATGGGTAATTTGAAAAACCCCTCAACCAAACACCACCTTAAGAGAAAAAATATAATGATATGTTCGCTTTTTCAGCAGTTACAGCATATGAACTATTTGCAATAAATCTAATATGATGTTATTTTGGAGCAAAAATCATGGTTTTTTTATAATTCTAATTTATTTCAAGGTTGTTATAGTCTTTATAATTATAACTAGTGTATTACCTGTGCTGATGCACGGGAGAAAAAAATCGATTTGTTTGTCTCGTAAAAGTTTTCCTAAATTTAAAATAAATATTATGAATAATATTTTTTGTTAAAATATAAGAGCATGATGTAAGAATAAACAAAAAAGATATATCTTTCTTCAGTCTCAAATTAAATAACGATGTTGAGCTGCACTATAAAACATATTCACATATGCAGGTAACAAAACATGTATTATTGTTATCAAAAAAAAAAAAAAAACATGTATTATTAACACGAGGATGATAAAATAAAAAAGATTAATTAATAAAGACTTAATTAAAATTCAAAATATCCAAGTGATTTTCAACTTAATATAATATAGTTGTAATAAAAAAAATTTAAACGTTGTGCTTGACATCAAGGTAATAAGAAAGATGCGTAACGTATACTTGCAAAAGTGACAAAACCCATTACGCGATTCACTCTTGATGCTTCCTCCTGTTAGAAATGAATGATAAATATTCTATAAATAAAAGTGTGGAAAAAGAAACATGACTTTGAGAGTAAAAAACAATAGCATTATAGCAATACATGCATTTCATGATTAAGGGTACTATTTGTAACACGACCATTTTCATCAAGTATCCATATAATCAATCAAGCAAAATTAAAATAGAAAGTAGCAATCAACAAAGGCTTAATTAAAATATAGAATAGGGAAGTGATTTGCAACCTAATATTATATGTCTGTAATAGAGTCCAAGCATAATAAACATAAACACGCAACATGTGATCAAAAAATATCTAAATGTTGTGCTTGACATGAAGGTAATAAAAAAGATGTCGAACCTATACTTGCAAAAGTTATAAAACTCATTCCGTGATGCACTCGTGATGCTTCCCCCTCTTCGAAATGAATGATAAATTATCTATGAATGAAAAATATGAAAAAAGAAACATGAAATATTAACGATACAGACTAAAGACAAATTATAAACCAAGAACAATATATTACCTCAGATAATAATCTTCCCAATGTTTTTGGCAGTTCTTACAGTACCACTTCTCAAAATCCTCACAAACGAAAAATGGACATTTTTTGCAAGAATTGTACCACCAGTTGTATTTGCTCTCAATAGATTTTATAGTCTCATACGTGATGCACGTCGTGACCTTAAATATAGCCATCGCGGGTAAACAGGAAACATCATCCATACAGACTTGATATAATTCAAGAAAAGCAAAAAACAGAAATTCGATATTTACCTCACCACAAAGCTTCACACCACTGATAGACTTCTTTTCAGTCTCCTTAAGAAAATCATTTTCGAAAGAATAGGAGGACTGAGTAGACAACTGAGTCATCCTCAAACTACTTTCCACACCATCAGCCGAAAGACTATAAAGCAAAAATTCATAACACCATAAATGCAAAAATTCATAACACCATAAATGAATAACCGAATAAATTGTAACATGAGTTCAAGAACAACGAACACACCATTTTTTGAACTCAACGATCTCTGGCACATTCGAATCCATGACAATCCTTGTTGTATATTTTGTATTTGTTATCCCGACCTTACTTATCGAGTTGAAAATATTAGATAAAAACCGAATACAGAAGCCAAAATTATAATAACGTGAATAAAAACCGATTATAGAAGCCAAAATTTGAAATAACGTTTCGTTTGGAAAAAACATACCCTTAAAATATTTATCCTTCCTAGTTGGACTATCACGACGTTATGAGGAGTGTCGCTGTTTTCCAAAAAAGATTGCACCTCATCCACATAATGCTCCCACAAAGTGCTCTCCAGCTTGTGACCCCTACACATGAGTTGCAGCAAGAACAACGTTAATACACGAAAAATATAAGCTAACAGAGCTTGACAAAATTATTTTATTTAACTCAAAAATTTTAAATACCTCAGGTTGTCAAGCTCTAACACTACCATTTTCGCCTTCCTACTAGAAACCACACGATCACAAACTTCCCCAATTCCTGAGATTAAACCAATGACGTCTACAAAAAAAAGAGGGCAGCAAAGAGTTCGTAAAAAAAATGCAATAATTAAAAAATGGACAATAGTAAGGAAAAATATATTAGCCACTAAATAAGGGGAGTTAGATGTTTCTTTCTCAAAGATGTTGTAATCAACAAAATCAAATTCACTCGCAGAAATATTAGAATCAACAATTGATTTAACATCAGTCCTCAAGTTGAAAGACAAACGATATTGATGCTTGGTTGGCCTGAACACATCGCTATTGAATCCAACTCCAATTTTTTTTATAAAATAGCACTTTTCTTCGTGGATTTTCTTTCGCACCTGCAAGGAACCATTGACAATGGCGTGGATCCTACCACCCTACAAAAGAATGGAGCCAACTTACATCAATAACGTTAATTAAAATGATCAGAACAAAGATGGAAGATTTAAAAAACGCAGACAACAACCTGTTCATCCAATAAAACCATTTCAACATTGTTGTCAAAATCTTTACGTTGAAAGTTAGGAACTTTTCAAGCCCGAACCACCTTCACCTTAATCCTCCAGTCCTCCTTGGCAGGATTGACATCCTTCAAAAAATTATATTTTGAAAACATATTTTTTGTAAGACGAAAAAAGAGAGAAGCAAGAAATGATTTCGTTGAGGAAGCAATGCGCAAACAGCTGATATTTGGCAGCAGCAAAAAAAGAAAAAATAAAGAGAAGGAACAAAATCGTCCCCAAGCGTTGGTATAGAATACAAAGCAGATGTATTTTTTAAATTATTTAACAAAACCAATGCAGAAAGTAGCTCAACATTAAATGAATTGCCTGCCACCATTCAGAATTAAAAAATCAAATTTAAAATTTCAAGTTAAAATTCAAATTCAAATTTGGAAATTCAGAAAGCAGTGAGATATTAATAATAATTTTTAGAAAGCAGAGGTACATTAAATGAGTTGTCTGCCACCAACATTTATAACAAATATTGACCATTGATTTAAATTAAGAAATCTTGTACATCGATTTGCTCTTGAAAAATTGATTTTGTTTTATAATTATTTTATTCACTGATTTACCAAAGAAGAAAAGGTTTTTAAAATTTTGTAGTGTGAACACAAAGCTGAAAGTGAAGGAGAAAGCGACAGTCAGCAAACTTGCCAAAGAATGGAATTCCTTTAGAATATAAGATTTTGTAATATTTCAATCCCAAAACGATGTCGTTTTAGGAGTAAATGTAAATAACTTATCTACAGTAATTGCAGAAATATTTTTCTGATAATTTTAATATTATAATTATATATTTTTTGAAGTATATAATTATAATGGAATAATGACCAAAATGCCACTATTAACCAAGTTTTTTTATCCAAATATCATGCAAACAGTGTTATTTCCCAATATGCCACGTGGGCAAGTTCGCTGGGCACTGTAGTGAACTCAGTTTGCTAATGTGTCACGTTTCTGATGGACACCAAGGTTGGTTGCAACATATAATCCAACCAGTGACATTTTGCTTTGTCTTTTGCAACCAAGTTCGCTATCCCATGTAGCGAATTTGGTGTCCACCAGAAACGTGACACATCAACAAATTGAGTTTGCTACAGTGCCCAACGAATTTGCTCATGTGACATATTGGAAAATAATATTGTTCGCGTGACATTTGGATAAATTTTTTAATAAATAGTGACATTTTGATCGGTGTTCCTAATTATAATACTACGGTCTCACTGCAATGGTAATACTGAAAATTTGTTCCTCATATTCTGTGTTTTGGCAATGCTGCAAAGGACACATTACGTGTCAACGACAAAATTTAAGGTCGTGTTTGATTATTTTTCATTCTACGAGTTTTTTTTAAGGGGCTTAAACTTCTCATTTAATATAAGATGAATTTTTTTTTTCCGCAGACTTATAGGGAAAAGTGCTTTTCATCCTTTTTTTCTAATTAAATAATAGGTCACATTTCAAAATTTGTGTTTACAACATGAAATCCCACTTTTCTTGTCACATAAAAAGTGATTTTCCTTTTTTTTTTAATATATAATCTATCGATTCATTAATAACTCGATTAGTTGTATTTGAGTTGGGTAAGACTATACAAAATTACAAATGATACCAAATTTTTAATCAAAGCTGCATTTCTAAAAACTCGAATTCAAAATAACTAATAAGTTAGACCAACCCTTTATTGACGTATTTGCTTCTATTCTTAATGATTATAAGGTGATGGACCTTGGCTGTTTGGGCTCTAAATTTACTTGGAGAGGGTCAAAATGGCTGCACTTGGAGAGAGTTTATAAGAGACTGGATCAGGTTTGTGCTAATGCTGATTGGAGAACTAATTTTGATGAAGCCATTGTGAGAACTTTACCTAGGCTCAATTCAGATCATAACCCATCATGCTCTCTCTTATCCCTTTTGATAAGACTTGGAGAGAAAGACCATTTAGGTTTTTGGCTTCTTGGCAAGATCATGAATCCTTTCCCCCTTTCCTCAACAATACTTGGTTTCCTAATTCTAAAATTACCACCTGCCTCTCTAATATTGTTCCTCATATTAAAAGCTGGAATAAACAAGTCTTTTGTTGTATCCAAGCTAAGAAAGATTTTCTTTTGAAAAAGCTTTTTGATACCCAACAAAATATTTTAAATTGAAATGATGAAGATCTGTCTAGCCGGGAGAACAGTATTCAAGAGGAGCTGAATTTAATTCTTGAGCAAGAAGAAGTGTTGTGGTTTCAAAAAGCTAGATTCAAGTGGATAGCTAATGAGGATATGAATACAAAATTCTATCATACTACCACTATCATTAGAAGAGCTAGGAACATAATTGCGGAGCTAAAGAACGATAAGGGGCACTTTGTAAGGGATGAAGCTAATTTTATTAATTTAATACATTCCTTTTATGCTAATCTTTTCACTGAAGAAGTGCTCATGAGACTGTGGCATAACACCTGCACTGGATGGCCTGATATTGAGGAGTTTGAGCTCAAAACATTGGAGAAGAGAATTTTCTATAGTGATATCAAAGATACTTTTTTTAATATGGGGGGCCCTTAAAGCCCCTAGACCAGATGGTTTTCAAGCTTTATTTTTCCAGAAGAATTGAAATTTAGTTGGGCAGCAAACCTATGATTTTATTTAGTTTTTATGGAATAATCCGGCTAGTATCAAAGAGATTAATTAGAATTTTCTGTTTTTGATTCCGAAGCTGAAAAAATCGAAGAAAATTGCCCAGTTCAAACCTATAGCATTATGTTCGGCGCTCTATAAAAGGATTAGCAAGACCATTGTTAACAAGTTAAAACCTCTCCTTAAAAAGTTTATATCTCCTCATCAGGTAAGCTTATTTCTTAATAGACAAATACAAGACAACATTGCCCAAGAGATGGTGCCTTCTATGAGTAAAATGAGGGGTAATAGAGGTTTTCTTGCAATTAAAATTGACCTTGAGAAAGCATATGATCGAATATCTTGGTCCTTTATCCACAATGTTCTCATGGAATTAAAGCTTCTTGCCTCCTTGATCAATATTATCATGCATTGTATATCCTCTTCAAATCTGGAAATTCTTTGGAATGGCTCCAAAGCTGATTCGTTATCTCCTCGTAAGGGCCTAAGACAAGGAGATCCTATATCCTTTTACATTTTTGTCCTTTGTATGGAGAAATTATCTCATTTAATTGAATGTAGAGAGAGAAACACAATGAGAGGGAAAAAGAGAATGAGAAAGAGATAGAGAGAGGGAGAGGAGTTGGGGTGGGGGGGGGGATTATATAGGCTGCGAAAAGTAGCCGTTGCACCAAGTTCGCTGCCCACTCCAGCGAACTTGGTACATGTCTGCCACGTGTCCTCTTAGCCGTTACACACAGTTCGTTGCAGTGGGCAGCGAACTTCGTTACATGTCTGCCACGTGGCGTGGCAGGTGAGAACATGCAAGTGCATTAATTGCAACCAAGTTCACTGCGAACTTAGTGTCCATAGGAAAGTGACACATCAAACTGAATTTGCAACACGTGATATCTGGATAAAATTTTTAGTAAATATTAGTATTTTGGTCGGTCTTCCCGATTTTTCCCCGTGTACAAACTTAATGTAGAAGCAAAATCACAAAGAGAAAGTGGAAAAGGCATCCCCAAATTTTCTTTCGTCACGTTTGTTCACTCTGAACCTTCCAAACGAGTCTTACCCTCTATTCTAATATATATAAATGTGTAATCTTAATGCTCTTATGGTTTTTTTTTATCACATATGCTCATGTGCTTTGTAAAAAATAAAAAACCATAGGAGTATATGTGATAAAAAACATACCATTTTACAAACCACAGGAACATATGTGATAAAAAAAAAATTACATGGACATAAATAATTTTAGAATAAACCATTGGTGAACTTTTCCTAATATTAATTAACCCAACAATTTTCATCTGTAGGTGGGAGTGGGAATTTGAAATCTCAACCATTGGAACCACACACCACAACACAATACATTTTCAAAACCCTACTCCTCCCAATTCGACCCTCTCTACACGTCAATGTCGCCGGCGGAACTGCACCTCTGGTCTCCGATCAACTCCTCTTCCTCCGATGCAGCGCCGCATTCTCCTCTCCATCCCACTGCTTTACCTCATTTCGATGCCGACACCTTAAACCCTTCCTTCTCCGCAGGTGGTGCCGCCGCCCGCGGCAGGTCGAGGCCTAGGTTGGTCAAGCTGAGGAAGCAGTCGGCGTCGCAGCACGCGAGGTCCAGGACCAGAACTTCCGCCGGTGACGGAGGCTCCGGCTTCAATCCTTTTCGTTCCGATCAGGTAAGTGACAATATTAGCGCGTCGAGTGGGCCCGTGGGAGATTCTAGTGGAGTGGAGAGTGGTGCCGGAGCTTGTGATGGCGGTTCTTCGAACTGTCATCGTAAGTTCGGGAACGAGGGTTTTGTGTTTGGCGCTAGAAAGGGTGATTCCGATTCTGCTCGGGACTTGAATTCCCAGCAGGGAACGACTGAGAAAGAAACGGAGTTTAGGAAGAGTGGTTGTGTGGAGTTTGTGTTTAGTTCTAAAGGGAATGATGTGGAATCGGATTCACTCCCCGAGAGAGGGGAGAAAAGAAGTGAAGATGCAACAAGGACGGTTTCTGGTGATGAAAGGAAGATGACATTAAGTTCGGAAACGGAGCACGGGGAGTTTAATAGTACGGGATTTGTTTTTAGTGCTGATGGAAACAATTCGTTTACTAATCCAAATACAGAAAAGGGGGAATCTTGTGTAAGTGTGGGAAATTCGGGGTTTGATTTTGGTGGGGAGAGGGAATGTAAGACTGAATTTGATTGTGAAAAGTGGGATTGTTCTGGTTCTGTTTTTGGTGACAACCATAGTGTTAAAACGTCGAGTTTTAATGTGGAAAAGCAGGAGTCTCTGATAAATTCGGATTGTGGAATGGGTGCTTTTAATTCCAAGACGGAAACAACTAGTAATAGTGATACAGATGCTGATCAGTATGATCATTTGCGTGATGATCATAAGTGTAAGAGTGGATATGGAAGTACTAATGGTTTTTCGGCTGCTTGTAATGACATTCCTGTAAATGAATTGCCAGATGAGATGAAGAAACTGAACATCAACCATTCTGAAGGTGCTGGTGTCACTAGAGATTCCATGAATTCACATGTAAATAGTAGTGCTGGTGCTGTTTTTGGAGGAAGTGCCAAGCAGTTCCATGAGAATATTGGTGGGCAAAACGTCAAAGCACGTGGAACGAATGATGTTCAAAATGGAACTGCTTGTGGTATTGCTTGTGATTCTACAGGAATACCTTGCTCTAAACCATCCACCGGTCAGGAAGGCATTAGAGATTTCCAGTGTGGCAAGATCCCCGGATGCAATGCATCTGAAGATTCAAAATTGAATGGAGCTACAGCATCACTTTCGTCATCATCATTTAGTCTTGATTACCTCCGAAATTGTTATGCTTCTACAGGCCAGCCCTCTAGTGCAGATAATGTTAAGTGTGATAATTGTTTTTCAAGTATTCCTGGGGCATCAAAGGAGTCTTTTATGGACTTTAAACCCCCAACATGGGATCCTTCTTGTTTTAAAGACAACTTATTTCCCAAGTTAAATAAAAAAATAGAATCAACACAGAAGGGAAGATCTTCTAAAGAAAAAGGATCAAAATATATGCGGCGAAAATTGAAACCACATTGCTTGAATCAGAAACAGACAACGCTGGATCATTTGTCAAAGGGAAACAGTTCACTTGAAAACCCTGATTCTTCTGGTGGCCACTCACCCATGGATTTTTCTCCCTATCAGGAAACAGTAGCAGATGATCAAGATGTAAAAGCTTCAGATGAATTAAATTATCTGCATTCAGAAATTCCCACTGATTATAAAGATGAACACTTGGCTGCTGTACGTAAAGAAGATATTAATACAACAGATCAAAGTTGTGCAGATCCAGATAATGACAAGTTATTGTCACGTAATGGAAGTTCTTCTGTTGGTGATTTTCATTCTTCTGTCCCTGAAATAGTCTGGCCTAATTGGAAATCCATGCTGTTCAACTCTAGTAGTATTTCTGGTGCTTTGGCAGATGCTACGGAAAACTTCACTTCAAACACTGAGAGGCAAGCGACTAATATATTTTGTTTTGTTCATGGTCTGGGTGACTCAAAGGGGAAAGATTTTGCATTTTCTGCATCATCAACTGTAGATGGTACTTCATCATCAATTAAGCTTAAACATAAGAAGAAATTTAGGAGGAAAACAGGGTGTGACTCATTTGTTATCTCTCCAAATGTGAATGGAAAGTTTGTATCTTCTGGACAAGTTTCTCCGATTACCACTGCCAACATGTCATCAAATTCTGATGGGATCGATAGGTCTCAGCTAAATGACCAGTTCAAGGAAGGGGATGTTGCATCATCGACTACAATTCAAGCAGTCTGTTGCAAGTGGAGACTCAGGTGCTGACCTTAAAATGAAACACCGGCTCTTTCAAATATATTTTAATTAATTATTTTAATATTTTGCTATGCTGATTTTTGTCAGATGTTTTTGAAATTTGCAATTTTTTTTATATGTGCAATTATGATTTTATCTAGGGGGAACCATGCTCATAAAGATGGTGATTTTTTTAAAGCTGAAGAGTTCTACACCCTCGGAATTAATTCTGTCCCTTCAAGTGAAAGATCTGAATGCTGGATTATTAAGCCTCTTTTGCTGTGCTATAGTAACCGAGCATCAACACGCATGAGTCTTGGAAGGGTTAGAGAAGCTCTAGGGGATTGCATGATGGCTGCTGCTCTGGACCCTACCTTTCTGAAAGTACAGATGAGAACTGCTAAGTAAGGGTTTTATTTATAATTATATTATTTAGATGACAAAACATAGTGGTTTATAGTTTTTACCTCCCTCATGTAATGAAATGTAACTTTCCTCTCCAGATGTCACCTTTTGCTAGGGGAAGTAGAATATGCTCAGCAGTGCTTTAATAAGTTATTGGAATCAGGTAATGTTGTTTGTTTGGATCGGAGGGTTATAGTAGAAGCAGCTGAATGTTTACAAAAGGCTCAGGTAATTCAATGATTTTCTTTTATGTGAATAGCACGATTGTGATAATTTTATCTGGATGTATTTTTCAAAATACTTTCAATTTGCTTGTTGATGATATTTTGTTTTTCTGGAAACTTTGTATTATTATCAGCTTTATATTATTATCGTTTATTACTACTGCCTTAGCTATTAGTCTTTCCAGAAGCAATTAATCTTTAATTCTGCTCTTCAATCTATCTTTGTTTGCTTCATGTTGTGCATGCTTTTATAAGATGTCTAATAAGTGTTATTCCATTTTTACAGGAAGTGGTTAAGTGTATAAATAATGCTGCTGAACTTTTAAAGGAGAGGACTTTTGATGCAACTTGCGCTGCTTTAGAACTACTTACAAAGGCATTGTCAATAAGTGTATATTCAGAAAAATTGCTTCAGATGAAGGCAGAGGCTCTATATTTGGTATTTTCTATTCCAATTATTTGCCTCACTCATCTTTATGCATTCTTATTCTGCTTTTTTGTTGTTGTTATTTTGCTGAATTATTATGTAACATGTATGTTATGGCTGATAAAAAGTGCTGTTTATTATGTTGACATGATATCTTGCAGCTACAAAAGTATGATGCAGCAATTCAGCTTTGTGAACAGAGTCAGCATAGTGCAGAAAAGAATTTTTCCTTGGAAAACTGTGCAGACAATTCCAATATTCCCATGTGTGATAGTTACTCAATTGTAAAATTGTGGAGGTGGTCATTGATATCCAAGTGCTACTTTCATTTGGGAAAGCTTGAGGCATCACTTAATGTTCTTGAGAAATTACAGCAAGTAGTGTCTGTTGATGACAAGTAATTTAACCTTTTTAACAACAAGGCTGATTTTTCATTTGCCATTTCAATCAAGTTATACTTTCTTTTTTCAAATACTATAGATATCTTTTGCTAATTTTAAATGTTCAGATGCATGATCGACAACATTGAAGACTTGCTGTCATTAGCTGCTACAATACGAGAACTCCTAGACCACAAGGTAATTTCAAGATGCCCTTCTTTCTAAATTAATGCCTGAATGCAAATGGTAATTATTGAAATGTCTTGACAGTTCTCAGGTTTAGTTGCATGTCAAGCATATTGCATACTTACTATAATATGTCCTTTCTGTGGATCCTGTATTAGTGATGACATATACTACTATTATTAAGTATTCCATGTATGAATTAATTTATGACTTATGAGAACCTCTGTCATGAGAAAAGCATCCTACTAAGGTACCACTATGTAGTTCTCTGATGAATTTTTTTTAGGGAAAACTTCAAAAAAAACCCCTGTTAGTTTCTTCATAATCACTTAACCCCCCTCCCCGAAATTTTTAATCATTTACCCCCCTGCTTTAAGTTTTTTTATCATTTACCCCCCTAACTTGATTTTCCATCCAAAATTACAGTAAACATTGTTAATTTTTTTATAAAATACCAAAACTACCCTTTAATTATAGAGATGAGTACGATCCAGTGCTACAACATCTCTAGCTGCCATGATTATGATATCTGCACAGGAAACAACTCCTGGACACGCTTTTTCTAGTGCTTCCTTAACTTTATCAATAATTTCGTATGATCTAAGCGAATTTATATTTGAGAGTGCCATCTTCTCACCAAGCATAGTTGGTGTGTCTCAAGTAACATAGAAGCATCACACCCCTTCACAAATTCAATAGGTAATTCAGAAAATAAAAAATAAAAGAAAATAAAAATCTAAGTTGGGTACGTTGACGAAGCAATCATGGAATTGGGGGCTTTTGAATGGAAAATCAAGTGTTGTTTGTTTTTTAATTAAAGGGTAGTTTCGGTATTTTATAAAAAAGTTAATACTATTAACTATAATTTTGGATGGAAAATCAAGTTAAGGGGGAAAATGATAAAAAAAACTTTAAGTAGGGGGCTAAATGATTAAAAATTTCGGGAAGGGGGTAAGTGATTATGAAGAAACTTATAGGTTTTTTTTGAAGTTTTCCCTTTTTTTTATAACTGGAAAAGTATAAATAATTCTTTTAGTGTCCCTTTCGAAATCTGACATGACTGGTATAATTTTTTTAACTCCGGAATCCTGATTGATTGAGGTTTATACATTGGAATAATTAGGTTAGCTTCTTCTCACTCTATTTGAACCATTTTCAGATTTGTAGTTTTGTATCTTTTCTGGGTAACTGCTGGTGTTATTCCTATTAAATGTATGTTGATCCTTATTCTTCTTCTTTACAACAGAGTGCAGGAAATGAAAACTTCAAATTGGGAAAGTATACAGAAGCAGTGGAGAATTACACTGTTGCTTTATCTACCAATATCAAATCACGTCCTTTTGCGGCAATATGTTTCTGCAATCGTGCTGCAGCGCATCAAGCTTTGGGCCAAATTGCTGATGCTATTGCAGACTGCAGTATGGCTATTGCCCTTGATGGAAATTATGCAAAGGTGTGCTTTTCTAAAATCCCTTCAATTAAGTGAACTCATGAGTTCATATCTGGATTTTCTTCCTAGATGCTAGCTTAACTCATTTAAAAAATGGGAAGTAATATCAACTGCAGACAGAAATTTCATTTGAATTGATGAGTTTCATGGAATACGATGATTTTTTCTGCGTGACTCCAATTTACTATGGATGGGAGGGGGAATCTGATTGCTCTCATTTTGCAGGCAATTTCAAGAAGAGCGACCTTACATGAGATGGTTAGAGATTATGAACAAGCAGCTTGTGACCTTAAGAGACTTGTATCTGTTCTTGAAACTCAATCCAATGAAAAGGCCAAACAGTCTGACTCGCCATGTGGATCAAATGGTGTGAAAGAATCAAGGCAAGCTCATCAACGTCTGCTTTTAGTGGAAGATGAAGCCAAAAAGGGAACCCCCTTGAACTTTTACCTCATTTTGTAAGTTCTTTATTCAATTGGGATTTCCCGTCCTACTTTTTTTTCTAGTATAACTCAAAGGTCTGTAGGCTAAATTCCCCAAAATGCATGTTGAGAATCCCCTGAGGCCACCTCTTTGGGGTGATCTATATGGCAGACATACATTAGAATTTAGAACTCCAATTGATGGCCGTGCTTTGTGACAGTAGAAGTTAGAACGATGAGAAAAAATAGAAAGTTTTCCAAGTAGCCGTAACCTCTACTTAGTTTAATTGCATAATTGTATGCATATTCAGAGTGTACATGGGAATATGCAAATGATTATATGAGATATCTGGATGTTGGCATCTTTTATGTTGGTACACAAAAGTTTAGAGGGAGGGGAGGTTGCTCGGTTCATACGTCAAGGCATGCCACAAGCCTCAACAAAGACTTACAATGGTACTTAGAGGTGACCTATCAGTGAAGTACCATTAGCATGGAATGAACCCAACACCTTTCCATTGACACGATTCGATCCTACCAATTGAGCCAATGCTCATTGGTCATGCTAATTTGTTAGAAACTGGATCATATTGCACTGAAAAAATGTAGATACTGTAATATTTCACTATAAACACTGATATCAATTGATATCTGCAGCCATATAGATGGATTTATAATGGACTGAAAGAAAAAGATAACAGGGGCATTCAAGAGGCCCTGATCTCTCCTGTCCACTTCTACATCACTATTTTCTTCCTTCCCCCCTCTAATCTATTATCATTTTATATTTCTCTTTAGCTTAGAACAGAATTTCCCTTCCAATTTTTACCTATGGTTATGCTGCTAGTTAGGTACCCTTAATCATGCCAAGTACTTTACACAGTTTGGGATCTGATCCCCTACAATTCTTCCTCACATTCACATACAACTTCACAATAGGATTTTCAACACTTGAAATCGAGAAACTGTGTGTATTGTGACCACACATGAATTATATTTACATGATGTGGCACTAATAACACAAAACCTATGTGTATACATTTTAACACTAACAATACGCCCCCCAAAGCTTGCTTTCAGCTTGTCCTCAAGGTGAAATATGGGGAACTGGTTTTATATGGAAATGATGGATTCCCAAGAATTTTCAAAATTTGGAAGGTCTTGCCATTTGATAAGCACTACAGAAACTCATAAGTTGGTGCTGTAGCTGAGAACCTCCAGTGGTTGAACTTTTAGCTCCCAGTCTTAGTCTTCGGACAGAAATGGTGGTAATGGAGGGCTCTCAGCTGTGGTAGTGATGGGTACATAAATACCATGTGGATGTGGCTAGCAGCACAGGTAAATCCAACTTGTGGTCTGCTTTAGAGGTCCTCAAAATCATTTCTTGGCTTATAGTGTACCTCAAAATCGTATCCAATTAGCTTAGAGGTCCATTTATCCTGTTCCTCTTCGGGTTACCTTTGTTCACTAAGAAATATGAGACTTTGTTGGTCTGTTTTCACTATAAAGTGTCTGCCAATTAGATAATGAGTTTGAGCTCATTCAGACAATGGTTGACTGATGAATGCAATGTGCCTCCATTCTTGCTTCAGAACGACCTCCTAATCCTCTGCCTGAGGCATCAGTGTCCACTGTGAATGTCTTATTAAAATCTGGAATATCTAGGACAGGTACAGAGGTCATATCTTTAATGAATCAAAGGCCTCTTGAGCTTCTTGCCCTATCCTGAAACTATTTTGTTTAAGATGTTAAGTCAAAGGTCAAGCAATTTCACCATAGTCCTTGACTAATTTCCTGTACTAGCCAGTTAGGCCTAGGAACCCTCTTAGACTCTTTACATCAGTAGGAGTGGTCCAATTCACCATAGCTTCTAATTTTTTTTGGATCTGCCGTTGTCCCTGAAGCTGAAATTAGATGGCCTAAATTTTCCAGTTCTGACTGACCAGAACTGCGTTTCTTCCTCTTTATAAACAAACAATGTTCCCTTAATTGAAGTACCATTCTTAGTTGTAAGCAATGGGACGGTTGATCTTTGCTGTGAATCAGTTTGTCATAAAAAAATACAAACTTCCTTAAAATGGGTCTCAACATCCCATTCATAAGGGATTGTAAGTTTGAAGGGGTGTTGGACATACCAAAGGGCATCACAAGGAACTGATAGTGTACCTCATGAGTCTGAAAGACAGTTTTGTGTATGTCAGCCTCCTTCATTCTCATATGGTGATATCCAAATTTCATAACCAATTCATCGAGCCACTAATCTATTGCTGGAATAGGAAATTTATTAGGTATGGTTACCTAATTGAGAACCCAGTTGTTATAGGAGGTCAAAAGACAGTCAATATAATTTACTTGCCTGAACCAAGGTAACAGTGGCCCAAGCACTTTAATGACGACCAAATCTATCATAGTGTTCTATTAAAGGACCTCTAAAGAGAGGCTGCAAAAACAATCCGATCCCATTCCTCAGAAATTATCTAAAGGCAAAAAAAAGTTACTTTGGAGATTTGAGCATTCCGTTATGTTATTTTACATCAGACAATAGCATCACCAGCACCTTACCGTAAAATTTCCCTCACTACTGCCAAAATCTCTTAACCTAAACTGTAAGAACTGCTCAAAGCATATCTCAGTAGAGTGGAAAACCATACAACGTACAAGATTAGAAAGTAATGCGGCAACTTCATGTTAAGTCATAATGATCTATTCTGAATATATTTTTTGTCTCCGATCTTTTTCTTTCTTTAGATGTTGTGTTTAGTAAACATGCTTCAGCTGTTACACCATTTGAGGTTATCTACTTTTAAGTGGTTATATACTGTAAAGAACAAATTCAACCCAAAAACTTAAGCTGGTGGGTGAAGCTACATTAATGGTTTTATATATTTCTCACACGAGAGCCCATTGGGCTTGAAGGGTAGATAATGCATCAGGCTCAGTCTACTTGTGCTAAGAAAATTCCACAAGAAAAGTGGGGGTGGTGAGGATCGAACCCGTGACACCGGGGCTCTGATACTATGTAAAGAATTAATTTAACCCAAAAGCTTAAGTTGGTGAGTAAGATTACATTGATGATTTTATATATCTGTAACATATACTTTTATTACATAGAACAACACTAGTGTATTATAGACTGATACATATGAAGTCACTAGTTACACATGAAAGGAATCTTTTCAGTTTTTTTTTTTTTTTTTTTTTTTTGCAATGGTCAATTGAAAACATGTCACCATCTATATTGTCAAAATACCATCACACGTGTCAATATTCCATTATGCATTGAGCTACCGAGTTTTCTGCTACTGATAGTTCCTAGTTTAAAGAGTCCAAATCTAAATTCTGTTCTTTACAATGTCAATACCAGAGGAATTAAACCAGCTGATACTGCAACTGATATCAAGAAGGCGTACCACAAGGCAGCTCTCAGACATCATCCAGACAAGGTTTGAGTCTTTCTGAGTCTGCATTGTTATCTTAGTATAACTATTTTTTTCCTTCTTTTTTGGATATAAAGGAGGGCCTAATCTCACATTTTCAGTGTTCAAAGCTTATGTTCGGAAACTTTCTTTTCTCTGCTTTTGGTTTGAATCTAGGCTGTTCAGTTGGCAAGAGGTGAAGTTGGAGATGAAGGCCGAGTCTGGAAGGAAATTTCACAGGAGGTGCACAAGGATGCTGATAGGCTTTTCAAAATGATTGGAGAGGCATATGCTGTGCTTTCAGACCCTGCTAAGGTTATACACATGTATTTTTGTTAGTTAATGAATCTGAATGCATCATTAACTCTAGCCTGATAATGCATGCTAGCTAAGCAACAGAGGGATAGAAAATAGATCACAAATAATAATAGAATGGCTATATAATACTATCTTTTTGGCACTGACATGCTCTACTGAAATGCTTAAGTTCACTCCTGTCTTAAAACCCTTATTCTCAAGCTGGAGTGTGCTACTAGCTTCTTTCAAACAAAGCTAACCCAAGTAGCCATCAAGTAATGTTTCTGAACCGATATGGGCCGTTCTGATTATTTTTTTGAAAAAGGTGAGTTTTTTCTTCTCCGAAAAGAGTGGGTGCAAGTAATTTTGTCTGTAAGACATGTAATGGGCTTCATCAATTTGTGAAATGTGCTTACTGGCTCTATCTGTCGGGCAAACATAAATTTTGTATCAGATTTATTAGAGATGGCTTACTCCGTAGTTTTCCTGTTTCCTTCTTTGGTTGTGTTGGACGTTGTTCAAAGTTTTAGACTATTTCAGTTTCTTAATTTTCATTAAGGGTCTATTCTTTGTAATTAATAGAAAAAACTGATAAGCTTCTACTTTCATTGATCATAGCGCTCGGAGTATGATTTGGAAGAGGAGATAAGTAAAGCTTATAAGCAGAATAGCAGGGGTGGCACGTGCAGGAGATCTTCAGATGTTTATGGGTATGGAAGACCATCTGATGGTTATAAATCTCCCTCTGACAGAACTTCTAACAGACGATATGGACGGGATTATCAATGGAAGACATATGGACATTCATATTCTCGATGGTGAGAGGATACTCAGACAAGGGCATTGACGTTCTTATTCCTGGTCGGATTGAAAGTGACATTCCTTCTGGTTCTTGATGGTGTGAAATAAATGGCGTAAACCTGCTTTTGCAGGTAGTTTTGATTCCTATACTTGGTCCGGTTGAAAGTGACTCAGTCCATTTCTGATTCTTTTTCTTTTGGTTTGACTCAGGCCATTACTCAAATAAGATTTATTGCAAATATGAGCTATAGTGGATACCTTAAAGTAGTCAAGAACTAAATGATTGGGAAAGGAGGCAAGAACAGGCCCCACCAACAGTCAGATACGTGTTTCACTAACTTAAGTCCTAACAAGGCGTTGATGCTATACCTTACTACCCTTCATCCCATGCTTGTTGCTGGACAAGATTTTTTCATAAAGGGATGGGGATGATGAATATGCAGAAAGTCTGGCAGATACAGACACAGGAGGCAATGCAGTTGTGCTCGCATAATTTCTCGAATGTCATGGATGCTGTTAAAGTTATCATCATGTATCATTGCTTTATCTGGATTGGATTGAGAAACTTAATAGGAAGTGATTCAGCCAAAAAGAAGAAGAGAGCCGGTAATAAATACATAAAATTCATTTTTTTTTAATAGACTAGAGCTACATATCCCTTCCCCTTGACAAAGTTGAAAACTATTGCTTAACATTTTTCTTTTCTTGGATTCAGAACTGGCGAACACCTTATCTAAATAATACTATCAACCTAGAAAGTATTGGTATTTTATGTTTTGGTAAAATTTTAGAAGTATAGATGATGGAACCAGTGTTGATAAATCTGGATTGGCCAAGCTTGGTTAACTCGAAACTAGTCATATTGTTGGTCTGGGTGAATGCAGATCGGTCAAGCATTGGAACTGGTGCCAAAGATACCATTACAATCAAAAGGTCATTTGTACCCAAAAGAAATAAAAAATTATGTTATAACTCAATACTAGGGACAACTCATTACTAATGCTCATGACTTATACTTGATACCAAAATAAGGTGACTTGTGGGAATGTGAGACTCAAAAACACAAAAAACAGGGAAAGAAAGGTAAAATTTCAAAGTGAAAAACATAAAAATAGAAATCCAATCATACATGGCATTCATTCAAAGTAATTAGCTCTTTCTGTGTAGATAAATTCGCCAATTATGTGCATGTATAAATGTCTATACATTTGTCAGACTGTACAAAAGTGTCATGGAAACAATAAAAAAATAAAATAATTTTTTAATACAAAATCACTCGGGGCAGGAGGACTACCCCTTAGATATATCACATAATCTCCTATACGTGCGATCTTTAACGGATATGGTTGAAATTAGCAAATGACTCAGTGTTTGCCCTCGATGCTGGTGGTTTGCACATTTATGGGTTTCCAAAGACCTTCCAAAAATGCAGTTCCTCCCTTGTATTGAGTTATAACATTAGTATTTTTTATTTCTTTTGGGTACAAGTGTTTGCCTTTGATTGGTGCTCTGAGAAATGGTCCTTCATAAAATTTGCTGGGAATATCCGGCAACCTTATCCAAGCTGTGATCTTTGTAATGACCGCATCATCTGGGTTGAATTCTGGCTCCCATTTTCTGATAGAAAGATAGTGACCCAATATTACTCATGGTCCTCCATTTATAGCCGCTAGTAAGTAAATCATTTTTATTGGAGAATGTTCATAATTTTTTAATATAAATTATATATTTGCATATATTTATCTAGGTTATGCGGTTGAACTAGCGACTCACTGGTTAAACTAGTTACTCAATGACCCCATATCTCAATCAGGTCAATGACCGGATGAGATTTAATAACATTGGAACGAACAAATGTTTAAAATAATTAGAGGTGTATGTAATATTAATTTAGGTAAGAATTTTAAAAAATAATTTTGTGTGCATTTCACTCGTAAGCATTCTTCAACTCGTGTACCAAGCAAGGGATCATTGAGAACTATCCTCATTTATTGCAAATGGTAAGCATGTTACCGGCATTGTTGGGGACATTGACCAAAGTGTCACTGTTGGCCAAAAAAATTACCAGACTGCCACGCCAACAGTAAATTTTGTCAAAATGCCACGCGGCATAATTCGCTACACAGTGTAGCGAATTATGCATGCAAGTAATTCGCTACACAGTGTAGCGAAATATGTCACGTCAGACTGCTCAGAACCAAAAATGTCATGTGTTAAAATTGAAGAAATTCACTACATAGGGTAGCGAATTTCTACAATTTTGACACGTGGCATTTTTGGTTCTGACGTGGCATATTTCGCTACTCTGTGTAGCGAATTACTTGCATGCATAATTCGTTACACTGTGTAGCGAATTATGCCGCGTGACATTTTGGCAAAATTTACTGTTGACATGGCAGTCTGGTAATTTTTTTGTCCAAACGTGACAAAATGGTGACTGTCCCGCATTGTTGCTAGTAATATATATGTTATAACTAATTAACTATTATTTTTATTTTTTTGTAAATACTAATTAACTATTATTAAGTTATATTTAAGAAAGAGGAACCGTAGTGTCTATCATCCCTTTAATTTCGACCTAACTTTTTGCACTCTTATGCATCCCAATTTTCATTCTTCAATTGTAAATATTCGACTTTACCTCACAATTCTTATCAACGAAATATAACTCAATTGACAAAAAGCTCAGTACTGAATCCCCCAATTAAATTTCGTGCCAGATGATCTTAAAAGAATTTATTTGCTAGCCAAAAGAAAGGCAGTTACTTCTTCACTCCCCTCATCTTCTTTGGTGCCTCATCGAAGTCATAGCTGACGTCACATTAACACATGTCAAAAACTATTCATTGGAGAGAGTTGTTTTGAAAAATGATTCTAAAAACTATGATTGTTTTCTTGTTTTAAAAACTGGAAAACCAGAACAATCAAGGGATGTTTTCAAAAGTTATTTTTTGGTTTTTTTGTTTTGGCTGTGGTAATTTTGTAAATATGAGGATTCATTAATGATATTATTGTAAATAAATTTAATTTCTTTTTAATTTTAAATTACTTTATAGTTGCAATATTGTAATTATAAGATTTCATCAATGGTACTTTTGTAAATAACTGAAACTTTTTTATAACTTCAAATCCAAATATACTCAAACAAATTTTATTGTTCTTGATCACCCATTGCAAGTATAATTTTATTATTCTTTTACTCTCAAAATCTGTTTTCAAAACAGTTTTTTAAAACAAAAAAAAACAAAAACATATTCAAACACACCATCATGGGATCCTTATTCTAATGCTTCTCTTCTTGAATAACTTTTATAATGGGCTTGTTAAGTTGACAATGAATGTTGTGGTCTCGCATCAGGAAAGGTGCTGTGCACTAGTTTGTATGGCATTAAGATTGAAGATATCTGGAAATAATTTCACACCTTGTTGAAAAAGATAAGTAGTCTCTAATGGATCCACCTTATTCTGCTTTGCACCTTATTCATATAGGTGATGAGAAACTCCACAACAATATTCACCACTTGTAAGCCGATAAAAGTATGTGCTACTTCTCAAAAGATAAACTGACACAATCTTTGAGCCAATGATTTCCTTCCAATGTGCTTTTAAATAAGTTTAAGAAAAGTTTTTATGATAATATTTTCTAGAAGACTTTATTTAATTCGTCAGAAATTATTGGCCAATGTTTTTTTCCGTACTATTTCATTGGAAACTGGTTAATTAATTATTTAGATGTGATGTTCACATTATAATTTTTCTATACCAACCCAATGACATATGAGAGGCGAATAGGTCTCGGGGTTAGTCATAGTTAAAGTTCTTTGTCCTTTCCCATAGATATATTTGATGGAATTGATTTTAGATTCTTTTTCCAGTTACTCAACCTATGTTGTCAACTGAGCTACATTCATTGAGTGATAATTTTCATTAGTCAGATGAATGGTTATTGGAAATTTGGTCGACAAAACTATATTTATTAGGTGATAATTTTCATTAATCAAATGAATGGTTATTGGAATTAACTTTTATTTTCACATTTACAAATAAATAATGACTGTGCATTTTTATGCTCAATATAAATTTAGGAGGGAAATCACACACTATACAAAGTTTTATGGTTTTTTGTGCTTATGAATATGTTTGGTGTACATGATAGGATAAGACTTGATAGTATAGGACATGATAGGATAAGGCATGTTTGGTTTCGATAGCAAGCAAGAAGATGAACTACTCAACTACGTGTGAAGTTGTCAATAGCTTCAGCTCAAGAATCAGAATGAGAAAAAGGCTTACTGTGACGACACGAGGCATGAGTTCAAAATTATGAAGAACAACCAGTGAATCGCAATGGAATGGGCGGATGAGAAGTATGTTGTGTCGACGTGGAGGAGGCTGAACCAGATGCCTCTGTTCCCTCATGTGGCCAACACCGTCTTGCCTACAACAACATACTATACGAAGAAGTATAATGAGATGGTTGTTTATGAGAAAGTTCAAAGGCGAACGTGAAGGGAAGAAAGGAGGCAGAAGGAGAAGAGAGGTGTTAACCTAATACATCATCCTCTTTTCAGATCTAAGCCTCACCCCCCAGGGCTAATTAGATTATACATTATTTTAATGTATTAAGCAATCCTGCTGTATAAGTTTATACTATACGATGGCCACATCAAACAACTAAAAATGCCATAATATATAGTATAAATTTATACTATCAGATCTTATATATCACACCAAACAAGCTCTATGGGCATGTTTGGTGCATAATATAGGATAATGCCTGATAGTATAAGACCTGATGGTATAAGGCCTAATTGTATAGGACCTGATTAATTTTTAATACTATCCAGCATTTGATATTGTATTGTATAAGATAATATCCTCTAGTGTTTGGAAATGCACTTTATAATACTAAATAGGATAAAAATAAATATTTTTTAAAAAATACTCTTGAATAAAGAATTTATATAATTCTTCCAATTATGTCATCTGATATTAATTTTTATAAAAATCTATTGATCAGTGTGTCCAAAAAATATATTAATTTATATAAAAAAAATTCTGATATTTTAAAAATTAATTTATTAAAAAATTAATTTTTATTTTAATATGTTAATATTGAAATGATATATTAATTCTTGAGAATTGTACTTGTAAGAAATATTAATATATTGTTAACTCTCCCAAATGAGAGTTAATTTTGTATTTTTATGATGAATTTGCTGCATAAATTCCATATAAGTTGTCTTGTTTGCATGATAATTGAGCTAAATATTGCATATTCATGATTAAGTGCTTTGAGATGACTAAGTATGGAAAATGAGACAATATTCCTTGGTTTTGTGTAAGAATAGATGATTTGTTGAGTGTTTGTCTATGCAGGAAAAGTTGATGCCAGAATGCTGTAGCAGAGAAACTGACGAAGTAATGATATAGCAATCGGTACAGCATGACAGGGAAACAACTGAAATTTCAAAATTCAAAAATTAGTTATTCCTCAACAAATGGATAAAGCACCAGCAAGTAGGGATAAATGACGTTCTTGAAGATTCATTCTTATCTCAAATTTCCAAAGATCAAGGACAACAAACTCTTATCTAGTCAACAACAATATTGGCATAAGAAAATCAAGAAGATCAAGATCTTATCCAATCAAGTGCCAACAGCTCAAGAAAATAGGGATAAGATAAGGCTGCAGCAACACAATTCATGGATTTTCACTCCCAAAGTGAGGCCCAATTAACCAACCATCTTTTCCTATTTAAAGAGGACTACATTACGAATTCAAAAAGGCTGGAAAGAATGTAGTACCCCACACTACGTTTAGAGAGAGAAGGGGGAGATTCTTGGAGGAAGAAGAGCTGTTGGAGTCTTGCTGGAGCAAGACTGTGACAAAGTTTTACAACTACATTCTTTTCGTCTTCTTTTCTGTTTTTCCATGAATTCTTTCTCCTTCTTTTCTATTTTTTCTATTCCATTATGAGCTAAATTGCTTCTTAGGTTAGGTGATAAAGTACCTATGCTGTAACACTGTAATGGATGCCTAAACTTTGTTTTTATGAATGTTTAATTAGTTTTTCAATGAGTTTGCTTATTCTTATTCATGTATGCATGTCGAGAGATACATATATGATATTGAGGAGGTTAGGGCCGAGAGGTTTCCGAATCCAGACCCTTGTTGAATTGTGTGGATTAATTAGGTTAAGAAAGTTAACTTGATTAAATTGTGGGTAGAGAGATCATTCACACCACATAGCCTCTGAACTTGAACTTTAACAATTGAATAATTAGTTTGGCCATAGAGATGTGGGAATTAGTTATTGGGTATATATATTAGGTTGGCCAAAAGCCGCAGCATACCTTAGTGTTCGGTTACTAATTAAGCATTGATAGAGCATTGTTATAGTATCATTTCAGTATTGCTGTATCAGAAAATTGAACCTGACCTATATCTCATCCATCATTTTAATACCCTCGAATTAGTTTACTGTTTTCTTAGTTTAATTATCTTTTATTTTACAAATCCAACCATAAAAATTAATCATTTTCTAGTTTCTTTACTTAAATAATCATTGCTTTATAAATCATCTTCGTGGGAACGATACTTGGACTCACATATTCCTTTATTACTTGTGACACGTACACTTGCGTATTTGTGTGATTGATTTAATTGATTGCAAATTGCACAACATACATCAACCTCTTTTCTGGCCTAATCCCACCTCCTTAGGCCTGATTAAGTTATACATCATTTTGATATATTAAGGGGTTCTGATGTATAAGCTTATACTATATGATGGTCATACCAAATAACTGAAAATGTCATAACGTATAGTATAAACTTATATTATCAAGTCTTATACATCATACCAAACAAGCCCTATATGTGCTGGGATGGAAGAGTATCCATAAAAATAAAATTCACTGGTCAATTTCTAGTGCAATTTTACAGAAAATAAAAATAAAAGTTAATTCACGAGTTTTTCACTTCTATCTTTTGACCCTTAAAAACACTAAAAAAAAATGTTATTATCATTGTGAGAAAAGCTATCACATTTAATTCTAAGTGGGGGATAAGTTTCTGAGTAAGTTTCATCAATAAATTGATGAGCACCTTGTGTCTCACACAAGTTTTTTAAACTAAGCTAAAAAAGAATAAATTAAAAGGAATATATTCAAAACTAAAAAAAATGTATAATCAAATTAAAAAGATTTAAATTTTTTATTTTTTTAAAAATAATTTTGTTCATAAAATTGATTGAATTATGCAGATTAGTGAACGTACTTTTTTGAAATAAAATATACATAAAAAACTATAGTTAATAAGTTTTTAAAATGCTTACTTATTTTAGAAGTTCGAACTAAGTAACTTTATTACCTATTTTAATATGGGATACCTTTTTTCTGTTGTCACTTTACCACTTTTTCTGATGCAGCAGATACAGAAAAAATGAGATCCACTTGTTTTTTTTTTTAAAAAAAAGATCCGTCAATGTATTCTGACTTTCTATCGGTTATTGTAAAATTTCTGAAAAAACAGTAATAGCAGAAGTACATTACCCTTTAATGTGATCCTGTGTAAGTGAGAATCACAATTTCAATGACAAGAGAAAATTATCATTTTATTTGCTAATCATTAATCTATCAATTAATGATTGAAAATATTATACGAAGATGAAACGTAAGAAAGCTTAGTATAGGAATAAAAAAAGCATTCTACCCAAAAAAAAAAAAAAAACTTGGAGTAGGAGTGTTCGCGATTTGAATTGGTTCGGTTTTTGAAGTTAAAATCATCATATCCAATTCCTTCAGTTTGATCATTTAATCATCCATTCAGTTTAATTTTTTTTTTTCAATTCTCATCCAATCCAATTTTATTCGGTTTAGTGGATCGATTTTCGATTTTTCAAAAAATCTAAAATTTCAATCATACAAATCACTAGCTAAATCAAAATGAAGCAAGTTACAAATCACATGAAAATTCAAGTCTTCAAATTTATGAAGAGTTAAAAGAAAGTAACAGATAATAAAAAAAATTAAAACAAGATAGTTTGCTATAAATAACATCCAAGATTCCAAGTCTACAAAACAACAAGATTCCAAGTCATCATCTTTCTCTTTCATATGTCACTCTTTAGCTTGCTCAATGCTTACTCTGTGGTCATCATATTGATATTTTTAATGTTCCCCTAATATACTCTTACTCTATGTCTTTAAGTTATTCAATATCATGTAAACTCATGAAAATATTGAGGAGTCACGTATAAAAGTTACTAAATTAGAGAAAAGGGCATCAGTGGAATTTTAAAAATAATAAATATATAATTCATTGGATCAGTTTGGATTGAATCGATTTTTACTAACCAAACCAAAAATCGGTCCAATCTAATTAAAATATGCGATTTTTTTTTCGATTTTCGGTTATCAATTTTTTGATTCGATCACCATGATTTGAATTGGTTGATGAATACCCCTAGTTTAGAGAGGTGTTTAAAGTGAAATTGAAATGAAAATAATTAATTAGTAATTTTTTCGTTTTCGCGGAAAAATGTAATGCGTTACTATGATGAAAATATGTTAAATTTTGTCTTAAACTAAGTTAATTAGGTCTATTTTTGAGAAATGCCAACTTTTATATGATGTATTAATAGACCTAAACTTTTTAAAAATAGACATAAAAAATTTAGTACATAAAATAAATAAATAAATTGTATAATATATATTTAATGACTTGCGTAAACATATAATCTTTAGTTATGTACAAATAAAATAAATAAGTAAGTCAATTTTTTAAGTTAAACATACTTTTTTTAATATTTATATAGCTATTATATAAATAAATGAAATGTTAAGAGGGGGAAATAGAAAAAGTATAAAATAAAGGGAGAAAATATAAATAAGATCAAAATATGAACTCTTATAAGAAAGTAAAAAAACATTACAAATTCTTAATATTCATTTTTCATAAAATATATGTCCTCGTGTAAGACTCCTAGCTCCAAGAATAAATAGAAAGACTAATTACACATCAATACAACATTATGTACGATGGTTACATTTCATATCAAAAGTCACACGCAAACAAAAGGTTTTCACATAAACCTTTTGAAATTCCAATAGTCATCTCCCTGCTCGTTCCAAATTTATGTTTTACAACATAAACCAATATGTTCCAAATTAATTCCAAAAGTCACATATGCAAACAAAAGGTTTTCACATAAACCTTTTCACATTATTTAGCAGGTGCAATTAATTCACTAATGTTAAATAATAATCGGTAGATTCTTTTTTTAGGAGTAAATTAATGGACGAGTTTGTTTCTGCCATAACAACCACAAATATCATAAGCAAAATACCAATGAGTTTCTGCATCCTCATTCCTCATAATAACTTTGTACGTAAAAGTAGGTAAATTGGAGGGGAAGCGTGAACTAAAGCGAGGTTATAGGCGTTGAACACTCTGGCCTGTGCATCTCTAAATGCACCAAGTTGACAAGTGCCACTATATACATATATACATATACACACACATAAATGTAAACTTTTATATTTCAATTGTCACCACCTCAAGACCAATAGTCACAGCACCATGACCCTCCCCACTAGCCCATACTCGTTCTCTTTGCTCCTCCTAGTTCTCATTCTCTCTTCCGCTTTCTTCCTCACAACAGCTTCTGAATCTAAAGCTGGTATGAACCATATATATATATGTTTAATCCCCTCTCTCTCTCTCTCTCTCTCTCTCTATATTGGGTCGACAGAGCATTTTACATCGGTGTAAATTATACTTTTAATCTTTATCATTTATTCTATTTATATCTCATGACTCTGATTTATTACATATGTGAGCCGTTAGATGCAAATAAATCAATGATAAAGATTTGGTGTAAAACTTCTTATTCTTATACCGATATAAGAATAAATAATGCCCCATATATATTTGTATGTTAACAAAATTAATCATGATTAAAAGGAGTGATTGTTGTTATATATACATCATATGTTCAGTTAAGGGAATTAAGGATATTAGTGATGCCTTGATGTTCCTCACAAACATTATGTTTTGTAACTTTTTTTGTTTTTTGTTTTTAATTTCTGTCATTCTGAAAGCAGATACATGCAAAAGTATATATCTTGATCACATTACAAACAATTTCTTCACATAAGAGGGGGACAAATTCTTTAAATATCTTGGAACATTTAAGGCTCTTCTATTGTTATATCTAGTGGTCCATTTCAAAAAAATAAAATAAAAAAAATTTCATGGTTATAAAAGAACAATTGGAATCATTAATGCCTCCTTTCTCTTTATTGAATTTTTTCTTTTGTGAACAGAAGATGAATATTCCTACACTGAGGGAAGTAGTACAGGACCAGAGAATTGGGGAAATATCAACCCAAAATGGAAAGTTTGCGGGGATGGAAAATCTCAATCTCCCATTGATTTCTCAGACGAAAAGGTTCAGGAATCTCTTAATCTGGGTGAACTTCAGAAAGAATACAAACCAGCTCATGCTGTCCTAAAAAATAGGGGTCATGACATCATGGTAAGCCACTAAGCCACCACAAAAATTGTTAGTCACATTCCATTATTCATCAAAGGTTTGTGCTAAAGAATAATGTAATATAAAAATAATATATATATATATCTTGACCTCAAGCTTAAGCTTTTGAGATAATCAATAGCATGATGTGATATCATACTTTAATCTTATAAAGCTTACGTGTGTTAAAAAATAGTATAACATAAAAAAATAAATAAAGGGAATGTTATATTTATAAATTTTTTGTTTACAAACTCCACTATATCTGATCGGTTATATTTCAATCAAGAGTGTATGATCGGTCATATTCCACTGTAAACGAATCCTTTCCCTAAAAATAATACATTTATATTCATTTAACAACTTAAACTTTAGGATGACAGCTCGGTATTTACCCGTGTCATGTTTGTTCAATCAACCTAATATTTGTGCTTAATGTTTTGACAGATCCAATGGGAGGGGGATGCAGGTGAGCTTAACATAAATGGAACTTCCTACAAACTGTCGCAAATTCATTGGCATACACCTTCAGAGCACACGCTCCATGGATCAAAGTGAGTTTGTCTTTTTCCTTTCACTTAATTTACTGCTTGATTTAATGTTAGGAAAACTCTTAAGGCTTGACCTTATATGATTCTCCATATATATATATATATTTTGATGCTTTCTATTTGTTTTCCAGGTTTGACTTGGAACTGCATGCAGTCCATCAAAACTCTAAAGGAGAGATAGCTGTTATTGGAGTATGGTATCAAATTGGTCAGGCAGATCCATTGCTTTCAAAGGTTTGCTATATTTTATTGACATTTATTTACTTCTGGGAATTTATTATGCATGGTGCTATCAAGTATTAAGGAATGTGTGCAAATATGTAAATTTTTTTGAAAAGCAAACAGGAAACAGAAAAACAAAAAAAGAAACTAGGAACACCTCTTAGACCAAACTACTCCTACATAGTCCCTTTCAAGTTTGTCACGACAACCAGAAGGAGGCGAGTCAAACTCTTGTAAAGACCAATCAAAGGAGTAGGCAAAAGAGGCCATCCAATCGGCAACCCCATTCCCTTCCCTATGAATATGGGAAATTCTAACCCTCCAATTCCAATCCAGCATATTCCTTATGCGCAAGACCAAGTTAGAGGCTTGATGATGAGAGCTGCACCCTTCTCTTATGAAAAACTGGGCTACTAAGGAATCACCTTCAAGCCAGACAAAACGGAAACCTTTCCTCCATGCAATCTCAAGCCCAAGGAGACAACCCCAAAGTTCTGCTAACAAAACATTACCACAGCCAAGATTTTTACAAAAGCCAACAAGCCACCTTCCACTAGCATTCCTAAATACACCCCCACAAGCAGAAGCTTCTCCATTATTCATACTTGACCCATCCACATTGAGCTTAACCCAAGGGTCCGAAGGAAAAACCCAAGAAACTAATTTCTCTTTATTCGAGTTAGTCTCAAGACCAACAACCCGAAGCGTGTTTTCTGACCAAGAAAAATCTTCACCATAGACCATAGCAGCTCTAAAAGTGCCATAAGCAGGAACAGAAGATCCCTGAAAAATTTTCTTATTCCTAGCTTGCCAAATGAAACAGGAAATGATACCAAACAGAAGAGGCCATGATGGAAAATTGGACCAATTACGATCCTCAGAGATATTGGACAACACCCATTGCTGAAGATTAAGAGAGAAAAAATCCTCCCAAGCCTCTCGCTTAACTGCAATCTCCCACACTTTTTTTGCTGCAATACAATCTCTAACCGCATGTAAGGAAGTTTCCGTAAAACAATTGCACAGATGACATATATCTGAACCCGCCATGTGCCGTCTGCAACGCCTTTCATTTGTCAAAATTTTATCTCCTAACAACAGCCAAAGGAACGTACGAATCCGTTCAGGTCCATGCCACTGCCAAACGCGATTCCAAGGTAAATTGGTAGATTCCTCGTTACCCCTGGATATGGCCATATAAGCGGACTTCAGCGAAAAACTCCCATCAGATGTCCTTGTCCACAAAATTCGGTCATGACCATTAACATCCGAAGGAGGAAGGATGTTATTAATACGAGCATTGACGTGATCGGGAAGGCTATGGTGGAAAGCCCCCCACATCCAACTTCCGGAGGATGAGACAAGATCAGAGACCATTAGCTGATGATTTATCTGAGAGGGATCAGAAATAGCAGCATAGGATGAGAGTGCACCACAACCCGGAACCCACGGGTCATCCCAAAAATGAGTAGAATTTCCATTACCTAGCAAAATTCTGGAATGCTGTAATATCACAGGCCAAGACGAAACAATTGCTTTCCAAAGAGAAGAGCTATTCCGAGTAGCAGAAATATTAGGAACCAAATCAGACTGAACTTTATACTTGCTCTTTAAAACTCTAGCCCAAAGCGCGTCTGGATTAGAAAGGATCCCATAACCAATTTTCATAATAAAAGCCCTGTTAACTTCCTTCATTTTCCTCAGACCCAGCCCTCCATGATCTTTATCCATGCACAACTGATCCCACGCAACCAGATGAGGACGAGTAGATGCTCTATTAGAACCCCACAAAAACCTCCTAATATGTTTCTCAATATCATTGCAGATTTCCGAGAGGAACAACAGAAACTTGCATTGTGTAGGCTGGAATAGCTGAGAGAACAGCTTTCGAAAGTGTAATTCTTCCTGCTAGAGAAAGACTGGTGTGGTTCCAGGCATTAATCCTAGATTGAACTCGATCGAGGATATGACTGAAAGCCGCCCTCCCAACTCTGCGATGATGAAGAGGAATACCCAAATACTTTCCAAGATCCACCGTCCTTGAGAAGCCCAACTCACCACTAAGTTCCTCTGCCAAAATATGATTCACATTGTGGGAGAAGAGAATTTTTGTTTTTTCATGGTTAACCTTTTGCCCAGAAGAAAGACAAAAATCATCTAGCACCTTGGAAATGGTTTGGGCCTGATCAAAGGATGCATCCGCACAAAGAATAAGATCATCCGCAAAAAAGAGGTGAGAAATGGGAGGAGCATTTCTCCTCAACATGATCGGCTTCCAGCACTTTTGCCTAACTGCATGGGAAATGAGATGACCAAGTCGCTCCATACAAAGAATAAATAAATATGGGGACAAAGGGTCACCCTGTCTAAGCCCCCGGGATGGGAAAAACTCCTGAGTTGTAGAACCATTCCAAAGAACATTCATCGAACAAGAAGAAACACACCACATAACAAGATTAATGAGATTTGGGGGGAGTCCCACATCCTGAAGAGTATCTCGGAGAAAGTCCCAGCTAATTCTGTCATAAGCTTTCTCCAGATCCACCTTAATCATCATCCAACCTTTGGCGCCTTTCTTTGACCTCATAGAGTGAATAATTTCCTGAGCAATAATTACATTATCTGTCCCTTGCCTTCCTTTGATGAAACTACACTGGTTAGGCATAACAATTTCATCCATCTGCAATTTCAAACGGTTAGCAATAAGCTTAGTAATAGTCTTATAAATAACATTACAAAGGCTAATAGGCCGGAAATCTTTAAGGGATTGAGGTGAAGTTATCTTCGGGATCAGGCAAATAAGAGTTTGATTAATATCCCGAACTTTTTGGGGATTATTAAACACATCTTTCACCAGATCACAAACAGAGCTTCCTACAGTATCCCATTGAGATTGGAAAAATAGACTATGAAGACCGTCCACCCCTGGAGCTTTGTGAGGTCCCATGGAAAAAACTGTACTCCTAATCTCCTCATTCGAAGGAATGCTACCAATATGAATGTTGTGCTCTTGCACAAGGTGAGGAAAATAGCCTCTAATTGGAAGCCCAGGTCTAGCAGTATTATCCTCTTTAAACAAATTACGATAATACTCCACCGCCATATTCATCAGAATAGAGGGATCACCAATCCAATCACCCGCATCATTTTTCAGAGCATCAATACGATTTCTCCTCCTCCTAGCAGCTGTAGTAGAATGGAAGAATTTCGTATTCCGGTCACCATATTTCAACCAGCTAGCCCTAGACCGCTGAAACCAAGTAAGAAGAGCTTTACACTTTAGTACTAGTAAGGGTTTTTTACACTTTAATAAATTTAAGAACACATAGTACTGACAAAGCTAAATTTATTTCAACCTCCTAGCAAATATGTAAATTTAAGAACACATAGTACTAGTAAGGGTTTTTTACACTTTAATAAGTGGTATCGAGTTCGAGTTCTTTGGAAAGTAACTATATTAAAACTTAGTAAGAAGAGCTTTACCACCCATTTAATCATACCCGACTCAAATTGGACAAGTTAAATAATCGATGAATCAATACAGAAATTGTGAGTTAAATATGATAAACTATTGACATTATTAATTTAGAGCGGTTGAGTTATACCAAGAAAAAAAAGAAGATCTAAAGAGAATCCAATTTGGTGCTGGTAATGATTGTGTATTTTGATTAATTGATTCATTTTAAACTCTATTGTTTGTGGCAGCTGCTAAAGTACATAAAATCAATTGGCGATGATGACATAGACTTGGGAGAAGTTAACCCCGCAGACATCAATTTTGGTAGAAAGTATTACAGATATGTTGGTTCTCTTACAACTCCACCATGCACTGAAGGTGTCATTTGGACAGTAATGAACAAGGTTCTACACTTTGACATGATTTTCTTAACTAATCATATACTAAAATTTATACTACACTTCCTCTTTTAAACTTAGCATTTTAATTACAGGTGAGCACAGTCTCAAAAGAGCAGCACAGTGCTTTAATAGCAGCTGTTCATCATGTAAGTGAATATGCATGCACCTATTGTATATGTTTATATAAAGGTGCCTAATGCAACTACAATTAAAGCATACAACTAAAAGCATTAATATCTAATTAAATTACAACATTTTCTATAGGGATTTGAGAAAAATGCAAGGCCAACGCAGGAGCTTAATGGAAGACAAGTTTGGTTTTATAATCCGAAGGAGCCTCAAGAAGAGTCTACCTAAATTTATATAACATGTGAAGGGAATTGAACTGCTCCTATAGGAATTCCAACAATTCCTCACATGAATAAAATGTTCACTCACCGTGACTAAATGCATTATAGTTTAACTTAGGATATTTTTTAGATAGCAAGCAGTGTTCGAAATCTTAATGTAACTGATTAATCCGATTTTGGGATTGTCTTTCTACTCTCATTTATGTAATAAGTTGCTTGAAAACTTCATAAATAATTTTTCTTTTGTATTAATCCAAATTTTTTATTTAAAAAAAAACAATATATGGATGAAAATCCTCAAAAGTTGTGGTTTTTTTTTTTTTTTTTTTTGATAACAAAAGTTGTGGTTTATTTAAGTGCTCACGAGCACGTTTCATTGGGTAGTGTGGAGGAAAAAGAGAGGGAAAGGAGAGATTGAGGAGAGAGGGGAATTTTTTATTATATGTTGTTTGTTCTTAATTCTTATTGACTTCTATCCTTTTATTTAAAGGAAAATAATGGCTCTAAAAACTTTTAAAATTACAAAATTATTTTTTGGGAAAACTTCAAAAAACCCCTACAAGTTTCCTCAAAATCACTTAATCTCGGCCCTCTCCGAAATTTTTAATCATTTACCCCCTACTTAAAATTTCTTTATCACTTACCCCCTAATTTGATTTTCCATCCAAAATTTTGTTAACAAAGTTAATTTTTTTTAAAAATACCAAAATTACCCTTAATAGAAAAAGGAAAAACATAATTTCGCTTGGTAATATCATATGATCAAGGAAAAAACAAGGCATATATGAAGCACATAACGTAAAGCTTTTCAGTTGCTGTGCAAGCAAAATAAAGTGCGGCTCTGAATAAATTTATAAAGTCAGATTTGTTGGTCATATAATAGCAGAAAATCTTATAACAGAAAAGGGAAGATCTAAACCTGCTGAGATGGTGCCTCTTTAATCATTTTATTTGAACAACGACACCAACAATTGTGAGTGGGTGTTTTATGGCAATGGAATTTGCAGGAAACAATTTTAATAATTACTAATTCTAAAAAGGCTACCTTAAAGAAAATATTTCGTGAGTTCGTCTAAAACTGTAAGGAAATTATGTTTTTCTATTAAGGGTAATTTTGGTATCTTTTAAAAAAATTAACTTTATTAACAAAATTATGGATGGAAAATCAAATTAGGGGGGTAAATGATAAAGAAATTTTAAGTAGGGGGTAAATGATTAAAAATTTCGAGGAGGGAGTTAAATGATTTTGAGGAAACTTGTAGGGTTTTTTTTTGAAGTTTTCTCTTATTTTTTTTATGAGAAAGAAAATTCATTGTGAACAATATACAGCAGATGTAGATTAACCAATGAAGAAAAAAATAATCTATATTCTGAACTAATCGACATTATGTTGCTCTACTAAGTATTTGAAAATTTTCAATAACTAAGTAGGTAAGATATTTTTACTACTTATTTTTTCAACTACCAATTTATTATCATTCTAATCATCATTGGATTCTACTTTTTAGCCGACAATCTTTGAAAAATTTATGAGAAGATAGAAAAGAAAAATAAATTTTAATGTAATCTAATAAATACATAGTTACATTAAAGTGGTAGTAAGTTGATAATAGAAAAACTTGGTAGTGAGATCCATACGGGGTGTATTGGAATATGATTTTAAAAGACGATTTTGAGATAATTTTTTTTTATAGATTTTAAAAGATTATCTAGAATTGTACTAACTTTAAAGACTTTTTAAAAGAATTTTTTACGATCAAGATTTTATAAGATTGAATTTTAAAGGATTTTAATATAATTCATAAGATTTGAAAGGACAATATGGATTTATAAAATTTTAAAAAATTATATGAATTTTTAACAAACATTCAAAATTACAAGAGTTATAAAAAGAATAACAAAGAAATGCAATGATATTAATAAAAAAAGTAAAACCTAATATAATTTTTTCAATCAGTAATTGAATGTAACTTGATGTCCTACTAAGCAGCAGCTCTCCACATATCTATACTAGCACTCCACACATTAACATCTTCTCGTTTCTGCTCTTGAGTTTAATTAATAGGTTGAAAATTATCTTCTTCATTTAGTATCAGAGCTATCCATATGTGATTATAAGACCCACAAACTTTTTTATTTATTAAAATAATTCAAATTTTGCATATAGAACCTAAAGTTCATGATAAAATTTCGTTTGGAATTCTTTGCTATTGATCTTGGAAATCTTAGGGTTTCTGTTCTACCTGGCGAGAGTTTTCTAACCATATATCATATGCATGTTTTTATTGATTTTTTTAAGAAAATTTCGAATATGAATTTCAGGATTTTATTACATGAAAAAATAGAAAATTTCTCAAATTATTTTCAGTTGATACATAGAAATTTTAATTTGCTATGAGGCTTTTGAAAAACAAGTTTTTAACAAAAATTATTTGTTCGTTTATGAATGTATTGTTACGAAACATAAAGGTAATATTATGAAAGTTTCAATTTTTTTTAAATCGATATCGTTTCATTGATATAAAACAAAATTTGTTTAAGGAATTTTGTTCCTGAAATGTTTTTCCAATATTTTTTGTTGTTTTTAATACAAAATCACTTATTTTTGTGTCATGAAAAATCGCGACTCATAGTTTGAAAAATTATTTATTATACTTTCAAAAGCTTTCGAAAATCTGTTATTTTTTATATGGATTAGATTAGAATCTTGTTGGGTTGTTGTTTTTGAGTTATTTAGTGATGAAAATCCCTAAAAAAAATGGCGAAACTCGATTTTGAGCGAGTTAACTAGCCAAAAAAAGAAGAAGCCAATAAAGAAATCCCAAAGGTTAGGGTATTAAGGCCCGTTTGGATGAGTTTTTTTCTCCAAAAGCTACTTTTTTTCAAGAAAAAAAAGGACTTTTTCACTTTAAGTTCGTTTGGATGTCTGAAAAAAGCAGAAGTCACAAAAAAGTCAAAAACTTGTTTTTTTTAGAAGCTAAAATTTTTAACTTCTAGAAAAAGTAGAAGTCAAATATTTTTTAAAAAACTAATTTTTTTTTTAAATATAAATAGCTTTAACTTTTATAAAAAACACTTTTAAGATAAGGAAGAGATAAAAACTATTTTTTCTCACTATAAAGTCTCACGAAATTTACACTATTGTAAAATCCACTAAAATCGTCAGATTTTTAAATACCACAATATTAATTTTCATTTATTTAAAATTCTGATTAAATATTACTGAATTTGAACAGACTCTAAAATAATATTTTAAAATCTTAATCAAATATCACTTTTTTTTTTATTCCTTTAAAATTCTAATTGAATACCAGTAGATATTTTTATCCAAAAATAATTTGTTAAATTTTTTTAAAATCTCAGTCCAATACAACTTTTTTAGTTTTCGTTGCAATCCAATAATATTCCGTTATCTATCTGTTACTCCCTGTTATCTCGTTATACGGCGCATTCCACACTACTGTCAAAATTGAAATGTAATCGTCAGCGCACGTTAACGTAAATGCTACTCAGCGCACGTTAGTGAACATCAATGCTTCCCCTCCCATCTTCATCTTCCTCTTTCTCTTCTCTTTCCCCTTCTTATCCTACGCACCGCTCTGTTCTCTTACCCTTGCTCCTTCTAGGGTTAGGGTTCTTCTTCTCCTCTTCCTCCATGCTTCGTCCCAGAATTAGGGTTAGTTCCTTCGCATCGTAGTCGCGTCGCAGCACATGGATCACAGAACGAAACCCAAGGAATCCCTCTCCTACTCCACTCTCTTCAATCTCGAGGTTCGTCGCATTGGATTCCCTTATTTCAATTTTTTTTTTTTTTGGTGATTCTGCGATGTTGTTGGAAATCATTGTGTTTCTTCTTACTGTTGGTATTCGTATGATGGACTTGTAGAATTGGTTTGACTTCATGTTTAGCTATTTACATTTAAAAAAAAAAATATTTTCAAGGAATATATTTTTTTTTTTCTGATTGCATTGTTTTGTAGTCTTTGATGAACTTTCAACTTCCAGAACAAGATGATGATTTTGATTATTATGGGAATAGTAGTCAGGGTGAGAGCAGAGACAGCCAAGGTAGGCACAACTCTTGTTTTCCTTTTTTGGTTGTTGTTTATACTTCTTTTTAGTCTGAGAGACTCTTACCTACTTGGATTTTACGTTTGTGAATGATGGTTCTATTGTGAAGATTAGTGTTTGGCTGGTGGGTGAATGTTGGTTTAAGATCTTTGACTTATATAAATTAGCTCTGTATCTTTGGGATGCTTCCATAAGTAGGTGGGACGATTGCAAATCACAGTAATGGGAATATGCGTGGGAGGGAGGTGAATTTGTTGAAGAAGAGGAGGGGGTCTCAAGATAGTGACAACGAGGAAAAGAGCAGTTTTAACGGGACACACATGACGGAGGAGCGATATCGATCAATGCTTGGAGAGCATATTAAGAAGTACAAGAGGAGGTTGAAGGACACCTCGACTAGTCCTGCACAAAATCAGGTTGCTGTTCCACTTGTCAAAAGTAACTCAGGATTAAAAGCTCGCAAGTCGGGGAATGAGCGCCGGGTAGGATTACGTGCTGCTGAGACTACATCTGAATGGATGAATGATTCCAATTCTCAGAAACCAGGAAACTATCGTGATGCAGATTTCACGCAGCAATATGGCGCTGATAGGTTTGCCTTTTTTGCCATATTGTTGCTTTTACAATGTTGAAGTATTTGAATAATGAATCTTTGTTTAAGTTACGAATGACCATTTCTTTTGGATACTCATTGCAGGATTATGTATGAACCTGCATCTTTGGATATTGGGGATGGTATCACTTACAAGATTCCTCCAATTTATAATAAGTTGGCAGCAACACTGAATCTTCCAAGCTTCTCAGATATCCATGTGGAGGATTTTTACTTAAAGGGTACCTTAGATTTGGGCTCCTTGGCTGAAATGATGGCATCTGATAAAAGGTTTGGGAATAGAAACCGAGCCTGTATGGGGGAAACAATATCCCAATATGAATCACTTCAGGCACGACTAAAGGTCATGTCAGCTTCTAATTCAGCTCATAAATTCAGTCTGAAAGTTTCTGATGTTGGTTTGGATTCCTCCATTCCGGAGGGGGCAGCTGGAAGGATAAAGCGATCTATTTTGTCCGAGGGTGGTGTATTGCAGATTTATTATGTGAAGGTTTTGGAGAAAGGTGACGCCTATGAGGTATCTATCAGATAATATGACAAGAGACTTTTCCCTTTTATATTTACACTTACGTTTTTTAATTTAGCTTTGTCTTTCAACTGCTTCAGATCATTGAAAGAAGCCTACCTAAGAAGCAAAAGGTAGAGAAAGACCCTGCTTTGATAGAGAAGGAGGAAATGGAAAGATTTGGAAAGATTTGGGTAAATATTGTAAGAAGAGACATACCAAAGCATCATAGGAACTTTACTACTTTTCATCGAAAGCAGCTCATCGATGCCAAGAGGTTCTCAGAGAACTGTCAAAGAGAGGCATGCCCCGTTTCTCCCCTTTATTATTTTTGTAATCTGTTATATTTCACATTGGTTTGTGATATATATAATCTAGCTGTCTAGTCTAAAGCTTTGGATGGTAAGTTTTGTATTTTGCATTTGCTCTTTAATAACTTATATGGATCTATATTGCTTTCAGGTTAAAATAAAAGTTAGTAGATCGCTTAAGTGGGTGAAGACTGCGAGTATGCGCACCCGGAAACTAGCTAGGGACATGTTACTGCTCTGGAAACGAATAGATAAGGAGATGGTATTTTTTTTAATTCCTTTTTGAAGTTTATTGATTTTATGGTGCTGGTTATTGAAGTCTGAAAGACATTGTATTTCAAGAAGACATCTTTTTTTGTGATTGTGGTGAAGTTTAGTGGAACATGATGGCTGCAAACTCCTCCTTATGCTCCGCCTTTACTTTTGAAAACAAGTTTCATGCATGATAGTTGGTAATAGGTTTTGTCAACTTGCTTATGTGTACATATATTTCATTAATGTGTTTTTGTCTCATGGATAATAGTCTTGTAATTTCCTATCAAGAAGATTATTGAAATGGTGTCACGATTTTTAAATGTAGTGGGTAATGATTGATCTGGATGGTATTGTGCACTCTTTTCAAGCCAAGGTGTTTAACTATGGGGTCTGAGCTGTTCAATTTGGATGTTTTTGAGATTGAGATGAGAAGAATTGGGATTTGTTTATTAGATATCACACCACATTGCTGGTTCTGATGGAAAATGCATGGTCTATTTGGTAGATATGCAGATCTGCTGATAATCTGTACTTCGAATTATCCTTTGAATGTGAATATTGTCATGCTAATGTAAATTTCACTTGTACATTAGACTTGAATATGCTGTAATTTTTCAATTTCATTCCTTGTAGGCAGAAGTGAGGAAGAAAGAGGAAAAAGAAGCTGCTGAAGCTTTGAGGCGTGAACAGGAGCTCCGAGAAGCAAAGAGGCAACAGCAAAGGCTTAATTTTCTTATACAACAAACTGAGCTGTACAGTCACTTTATGCAGAACAAGTCAAACATACCATCTTCAGAAGCTTTACCTACGGTTGATGAAAATACAAATGATCAAGATGCAGTAATCGACTCTTCAGATGCTGGGCCTAATGAGGAGGAAGATCTTGAAGAGGTTGAATTGAAGAAGGAAGCTTTGAAGGCTGCTCAAGAAGCAGTATCTAAGCAGAGAAGGTTGACAGATGCTTTTGATACTGAATGCTTGAGGCTGCGACTGGCTGGTGAAACTGATTCACTTCCATCAGAAGTTGCTGGAGCGAGTAATATTGATTTGCAAACCCCGTGAGCTCCCTCTCTCTCTCTTCATCTCTTTTTTATGTTGCGCATTTGTGTAGTATTGAGGATTGTGAGATAACCAATATTGTGTTCATTCTAATTAAGTTTTGTATTGCAGCTCAACCATGCCAGTGGCATCCACGGTTCGGACACCAGATTTATTTAAAGGTTGTCTCAAAGAATATCAGCTAAAAGGTCTTCAGTGGCTAGTTAATTGTTACGAGCAGGTTGTTGAGCAATCCTGAATAAAGTCTCCACTCTCCAAGATTTATTTCGTTTGCTTGTTAATTTGAAGGCTTTTGGTAACTTTCAGGGTTTAAATGGTATTCTTGCTGATGAGATGGGACTTGGAAAGACCATTCAGGCTATGGCTTTTTTAGCTCATTTAGCTGAGGTGCCTATTCAACCGGCTTTTTCCTGTACTTTTTTGCGACTTTATTCTGACTTGTTTGTCACATGCAGGAGAAAAACATATGGGGACCTTTTCTGGTTGTTGCACCCTCTTCTGTATTAAATAATTGGAATGAGGAACTTGAGCGCTTCTGCCCCGAACTGAAAAGACTTCCTTATTGGGGTGGGCTTCCAGACCGGGCAGTGCTTAGGAAAAGTATTAACCCAAAGGATCTTTATCGTAGGTAATACTGATTTCTTATGCATTTTCTTTACCTTGAAAAACACAGGTGGCAATAATGGCCATATACATAGAGTAGATGTTTGAGAAAAATCACTTTTTTTTCATCAAATATTGCAAACCCTAGAAAGATATTTCAATACATATAAATTTGGTGTACGGAATGCAGTCTCTATTCTTGCTTTTATGAAGAAAATAAGGATTTCCTTCTAAAACTGATTTATGAAGAAAATAATATAATGATAATTTACTGGTGAGACTTTTGATTTTAACGGAAAATACTGAATGAACTAATGAGTAATGATGATAGACTTAGTAAGGCAAACTTGAGAAAAAGGTGCAAATAATGCTGGAGTGTTTTACTTGGCACTTCAAATTTGTTCCGTGTTACCTACCTTGCCCGGTAACGGAGTGTGGTAGATTACTCACCATTAACAACACTTTTATCCCAAACCAGTTAAGGTTAGTGGTCAATGAACTCAAATAAAAAGCAATACAAGATTGAGAAAAAAGAAAGAAATAGTAAATAATACAAAAAGTAATATAAAAAATGAAAAATAAGAGAGAAAAATAAATTTGAGAAAAAATAATTAAATAAGAAGAAAAAAGTAAATTAGAGAGAAATATAAATAAATAATTAGATAAATAAATATAGGGAACAATGACTAAAAATGTCTCGTGTTAGTTGGTGGGGATAGTCATTGATCCTTGAAGCGGCCGGGAGATACAAGTGGTATCAGAGCAGGGCCTCTCCCCCAGTACAGTGGGGTTTGAGGATGAACCAGACGAAAGCTGGTGGACATGTATCATCCCAAGGAATGGCAATGGCAGGGAGTGTTCGCCGTTGTAAAAGAAGCACGAACAATGAGCGGTTCATGCCAAATCTTGCAGTTGGGGGGGTACATGAATGAATCGAATCAACACCCGAAAGAGAGGAATTCCAGAGACTGTGCAGGCATGGGACTGTGCACTCGGAGATAGCTTATAAGAATTAATTGATACTACCTATACTAACAAGATGTATCTATTTTTCGGCAACCCGGAATGGAAGAACTCCATAGTTCAGCATGCTTAACTTGGAGCAATTTTGGGAAGTTTTCTCAGGAAATGTGTGAGTGAGGACAAAAAAAGTCTCGTGTTAGTTTGTGGGGACAATCATTGATCCTTGAAGATACCGGGCGTTACACTGTACTCTCTCTAACTAGGATATTTTGGAACTCGGTGATTCGGACGAAATTGGTAGTTTTGAAAAAGAGTTAAACCGTAAGCATATGTAAACCAATGTCATTTCATGGGTTTGGAATTTGGCTTGTTTGGTTTGAATCTTGTAAGAACCAATTCAACCCAAAAGCTTAAGCCGTTAGGTGAGGTTACATTAATGGTTTTATATTTCTCTAAAACGCCCCCTCACGCTAGAGCTCACTGAGCCTGAAGAGTGGACAATGCACATTCTCACCTACTTGTGCTAAGAAACTCACAAGAGTTAAATAATTATTAACTAAATGGGGGGCAGTGAGGATCGAACAAGTGACATCGAGGCTCTGATACCATATAAAGAACCAATTCAACCCAAAAGCTTAAGTTGTTAGGTGGGGTTATATTAATGGTTTTATATTTCTCTAAGAAATCTGAAGGCTTTAAAAAAATTATCTAGATGGCAATTGTACACATATAGCCACATAAGTTACCATATTAACAAATTCCATAAACATTTTTAAGGGTATTAATATTAGGGAAATAATACTCTCATGCTACATGAGAGTAACATTTTTTCCTACACAAATTCGTTTTCCGTGCCAATTAATTTTTCTTTTCTTTTTTAATATAAAAGATGGGACCCACATTTAACTTCTCTCTATTTTTTTTCTCTCCTACTATCCTACAACATGAGAAAACTTAAACCCTTAATATTAAGGATGAATGTGGTCAAATTTAAAAACATTTGGGACTAAAATAAAATAAAATGTAGTTATGGGACGAAAGTGAAACACAAAATAAAGTTAACGACAAATTATAGTTTTTCTAAATTTTACCTTTATTTAATGATATGATGACATGCCAGTTTTTATGTTATAAATTTGAAAACTGTACTAAAACTTGCTTAAAAACTGACAGCAAATATAAAAAAAAAAGTTGAAATTCCTTAAAATTAGGAGTTCTTTGTAAGTACTGGACCTTGGTGATTGATATGAGATAATGATTTTCTCACTTTCAAGTTATAGTTAAGTAAAACAATTGGGTTTTTAAGAATGTAAGAAATGGATGTCCAATGGCTGAATCCCCTTTCTATTAGTGTAGATATTTGGTCAATATTAATGTACTATTCATCTGCACAGAATCATGTTGATTTCTAAACTTTGGAATTATGAGGCTAATGCAATATCCTGGCCCTTGTCTAGATTCTATTTGTAATTTATCTTTTTGGTCTTTAAATTTTATCTCTCTAATTTCTATTGTTACTATACCTTATCTACCAGGGAAGCTAAATTTCACATTCTCATCACAAGCTACCAGCTATTAGTAACTGATGAGAAGTTTTTTCGGCGTGTGAAATGGCAATATATGGTTTTAGATGAAGCCCAGGCAATCAAAAGTTCAAACAGGTTTGCTATAATCTATGTTTCTGGGGTGCATAATTGAATGGCATTTATTATTAGTTGGTCAGTGTTCCTGCCGTTTTTTTTTTCTTCTAAAGAAATCTATGTACGGTGCATTTTTTTAGTATTCAATTGTGTGTAATTTTGGATGTATTTATTAATTGTATGGTTAGTAAAAAATATTTGAACTAATATTAACATCTATGTTTGTGATTGATTTCCTTTCTTAAACTATATTTTTTTTGACAGCATAAGATGGAAGACACTCCTCAGTTTCAATTGTCGGAATCGCCTACTGCTGACTGGTACACCTATTCAGAATAATATGGCAGAGTTGTGGGCTCTTCTGCACTTCATAATGCCAACTTTATTTGACAGCCATGAGCAGTTTAATGAGTGGTTTTCGAAAGGGTATGTATTCCTCATTAAGATGCTTGGACGTTTTAGCCAATTTAACTTTGTTCTAACTATCTTTTATAATCTATCACTTGCCAGAATTGAGAACCATGCAGAACATGGGGGTACTTTGAATGAGCACCAACTTAATCGATTGGTAAGTTTGTCTTTCCTGTTTGATAGTCATAGTAAGTAGATGGTTGGGATGTATTATTATATTATATTGGATTTTTTCAGAAATTTTATGGACATATAAATAGCTTATGTTGTGGAATGAGGAGGGATTGCTTTGGGTTTCACATTAGGGGAAAATTGTGGTGCCATTCATTGTGTTCTTGCCATTGTTGGATGTTAAATTTTTTGTATTTATTATATTTACAATGTATACATTATCTTATGAGTTGTGTTACAACAGGAATATGATGATTTAAGATACAGTAGGATGTGTTATATTGTGATTCTTATTTTTATTATTGCTTCTAATTATTGTAGCTGGGTTTTGTTAAACTTGTATTAGAGTTTTTATCATCTCAAACTTTTTGGCTTATATTGCGGTTACTCTTCTCCTAACAGCATTCAATTCTAAAGCCTTTCATGCTGCGACGTGTCAAAAAAGATGTAATTTCTGAGTTGACTACAAAAACTGAGGTTACTGTGCATTGCAAGTTGAGTTCTCGGCAGCAGGCTTTCTATCAAGCAATTAAGAACAAGATATCTCTTTCTGAGCTGTTTGATAGTAATCGAGGACAGCTCAATGAGAAGAGAATTCTAAATTTAATGAACATTGTTATTCAACTAAGGAAGGTAGACAGTCCATATTATTCAGGCTTTATTTTCTCTTTTTTATTTTTTATTTTTTCGTGGTGTAAATTTTATATTAATTGGTTCATTTTGAAATAAGTATTGTTGTATTTCAAATGTATGATGTTCTTTTTCTTCCCACCAAGAATGCCCATAGTAAATATTTGCTCTTTAAATATGGTAGGTGTGCAACCATCCAGAGTTGTTTGAAAGGAGTGAGGGAAGCACATACCTTTACTTTGGAGATATTCCGAATTCCCTTCAACCTGCTCCATTTGGGGAGTTGGAAGACATATATTATTCTGGTGGTCACAACCCCATATCATATGAGGTACTTCTAATGCCTTATGTACTATATCAAAACATTCAATTTTGTTCTCTCTTCAATGTCCCATGTTTTTCATTCTACTTTCTTAATGTTCTCAAGTTAGAAGCAAAAACAAAATTTTATATCACAGTGATTTGGTTTCATCAGGCTTGGGTTTTACATAATACGCATTGTTGGAATTATAGGGTTTAGATAGTCAAGGAGCTCTGTTTCTTGGCTGTGGTTACCAGTACCGTATTGGTATGGATATAGTACAAGTCAACATCAACATCAACATCAACAACACCTTTATCCCAAATTAATTGGGGTCGGTGGTAGATGAACCCAAATGAAAGATACAAAAAGGTTGAAAAAAGAAACATAAAAGTAAAAATAAAAATAAATAAATAGAAGAGTAATAATATATATATATATATATATATATATATATATAAGTAAAAGTAAAAAAGAAAGGGAAAAAAAGAAGAGGGAAAACGAAGGGAAAAAGGACTAAAAAGGGACCATCTGGAACATAGGAATAACAACGGGTCTAACCGTCTACCATGCTTATAGCTTTTCTCCATTCTATTCTAAGGCATACCGTCCGCCAATCTATATCCCACTCCATTAAATCTTGTTTTACTGCCTTCCCCAAGTAAGTTTTGGTCTACCTCTACCTCTTTTTGTGTTGAGCTCTTGGTAACAAACTTTTGTTTTTACGGGAGCATCCAGGGACCTTCTCATTACGTGCCCAAACCACCTCAATCTATGTTCTCTCATCTTCTCAGCCACCGGTAGTACTCTTACTGTAAGATATGATTAGATATGATTATTCTGATTATATTCTGATTGTATTAGGTCTGGGCCTTTCCTATAAGCCCATTAGAGTCTCTATATATTGTAACTCTCTGAATTAGATCAATACACAACATATTATTTTATATTCAAGTTGGTACCAGAGCTCTTTCGTTCTGGGGACCCTCGCTTCCGCTTAGAAACCTTGTTTTCGCCTTAAAACCTAAGCCCACTGCTTAGGAGTCATCCTTTCTTTGCCGTGCATCCTTCCGGCAAGACATCAAGGACTGTAAGTCCCTTCCGAGCAATTTCCGAACGCGTCAGCACCTCCGACGGTCACCGGAACCACCATCCGCCACCGCCAGCCACTGTTCAGGCCGCCGGAGCACTTTTCCGGCGATTTTTTAGCTCGGTCAGCACGCGATCAGAATCCCCTTCCTCCGACGACCTACTCTGCAGAAGGCCCATCACCGGCGGCCAAGTCACGCGCCCTCACACGCGGCTGAGCTTCTCTGCGCGTGGTCGTCACGCGCCGCCTCTTACCGGCGCATGAGCACTGTTCCGGTGGCATTTTCTAGCCACTCCAAGACAGAACAGCTCGCCTTCCTCCCCTCTTCTCCGATCTGGTCTTCATTCGTTGTGGGTCTCGTCCGTTCAGAAGATATAAGTGATTCTTTGCTTTCCGGTCATTGTTTCAAGTCCTGTGCATTCTTATTTTTTGATATCAATGATAACCCACTGTTCATCATCATTGTTCATAGTGCTGGAATTTTCTATTTGAGTCTGTTTTATTTTTTATTTGGTAATCTGTGTTTATTTGGTCCTTTTTTATTTGTTTCTGGTCATCTTTATTTAAGTTTTTGATGGAGGGCACATCCAAAAATAGTACTGGAGTCATCTCCAGTACTACCCCATCCATTACAACAATGAAACTGACCGGATCTGCTACTTACAAGACTTGGTCTACCTCAGTTAAGATCTGATTTACTGGTCAGGGGCACGATCCACATCTCACAACTAAGTCTGCTGATATTTCAAAAGACCAGACATCTGAATGGGACAAGATTGATGCTCAACTGCTAAGTATCCTTTGGCAGTCCATTGATCGGACGATTATAGACATTTTCATCTCCTTTGAGACCTGCTATGACGTATGGGAGGAAGCTAAAAACCTCTACACCAATGACATTCAGCAGCTTTATTCAATTGTGTCTCAGATAATGGAATTGCGCAAATCTCCAGAGTCTCGAATGGAAACTTATATTGGTAAGATACGTTCTTTGATGCAAGAATTCTTGGCTATGTTACCTCATGCTGCAGATGCCTTTGCGTACAAGAAGCAGGTGGAGCGCTTCTTTATGGTCATAACTCTCTCCGGTCTTTCTGAGGAGTTAGAAAGTGTTCGTGAGAATATTCTAACCAGTGCTGAGACTCCTAGCCTGTCACACACTTTCCAACGCCTTCTGAATCTTAAGGACAAACCAACAGCTCCCACACATGTGCCAGCTACCGATTCCACTGCATTCTTTTCTCGCTTCAATGATTCTTGGAATAGTGGACGCGGTCGCGGACGTGGCCGTGGACAGGGTGGCGCGGACAGAGGCCTCGTTGCAATTATTGCCAGAATCTTGGACATTTTGAAGAACACTGCTACAGGAAGTACCCTCACTTGAAACCACCGACTGCCAACTTTGCTTAGACTGATGTTACACACCACCTCTTACTGGATCAGTAACTCTTTCCAGTGCCGAATACGAGGTACTTCTCAAGAAGGTTTCCTCTCAGCATCCTACTCAAGACACTGGTAATCATGTTGCTTGCCTTTCTCAATCATCTCTTGGACCCTGGATAATAGACTCAGGTGCTACTCATCACCTTTGTGGTAATAAGGATCTTTTCACTTCCCTTTCTTATTCTAATAATTTACCCTCTGTTACTCTAGCTGATGGTACTAAGGCTCCTGCTCGTGGAATTGGGGAAGCCAACCCAACTCCCTTTTTAGCTTTAACCTCTGTTTATTATATACCCGGCATTCCTTTTAATTTAATCTCTGATAGCCAGTTAATTCAGTCTCTTTCATGTACTTTTACCTTCTCTAAACAATCCTTCTCTATGCAGGATCCGGGTACGGGGAAGACGATTGGAGCGGGCATTGAGTCACGAGGTCTTTACTATCTGATTGCACCACCTTCTCCAGTAGCATGTTCTCTCACAGAGTCTCCTGAGCTAATTCACAGTCGTCTGGGTCATCCAAGCCTCTCCAAGCTTCAGCATATGGTTCCTTTTTTGTCTAGTCTCAAGTCTTTAAATTGTCAGTCTTGTCAGCAAGGAAAACACATTCGCTCCTCCTTTGCTAATAGAGTCAATAAACGAGCTGATGCTCCTTTTTCTATTGTTCATTCTGACATTTGGGGTCCGAGTCGAACAATGTCTGTTTTGGGTTTTCAGTATTTTGTCACCTTTATTAATGATTTCTCTCGTTGTACTTGGGTTTATTTAATGAAAAATCGTTCTGAATTATTTTCAATTTATCAAAATTTTTGTGCTGAGATAACTACTCAATTTGGTGCTTCTATTCAAATCTTGCGCAGTGATAATGCCAGAGAATATGTGTCTTTTGAATTTTCTAATTTTTTGGAGAAACGTGGAACGATACACCAGACCACTTACCCACACACTACACAACAAAATGGAGTGGCCGAACGTAAAAATAGACATTTGGTTGAAACAGCACGTACCCTACTAATTCACATGAATGTTCCACTCCGTTTTTGGGCAGATGCTATAATCACCTCTTGCTTTCTCATCAATCGCATGCCTTCTTCTGTACTTAATAATGAAGTTCCACATAGTGTTTTATTTCCAGGAGCATCTTCCTATCCTCTACCTCCACATGTATTTGGATGTACGTGCTTTGTTCATGATCTTACTCCAGGTAAAGATAAGTTAACATCCAAAACTTTCAAGTGTGTTTTCGTTGGATACACTCGTTTTCAAAAGGAGTATTGTAACACCCCGTATATATCCGGTAATGTTATCATACTATCGTATTAAGCAGCGCTTAATTAAAAATGCGGAATATCTTTTTCTTTTCGATTATGATGACATTATCATTGCCAACTTACTTATTAATCAATTAATAAAACATCGCCTGTATGTAATTGCAATAAAACAGCTAACTGAAAAACCTCAACATAGATAATAAAAATGTGTCTCTAGAAATCACGGAACTACTGCAAGTAGGCCGGACCAACTAGCAGGTTATACAACTCCAATCTAAAAGTACTAACCTAAAGTGTCATGGACAATCCCCATGCTCACTCAAATAAGGCAACAAGCCCAACATCAGTCTCAACAACAACATAATGTTTATCCAGAATAATCACCCACTACAAGCTTAACCAGAATAATCCTGTCGCCTTTCCTTTTGACGTCCACAAATTTATCTCTGAAATGTTTATCGATCATAATTCCAACACCATTTCGACTCTTGTTAATACCTGTGTACCATAACTTGAAACCAGTTCCATCCATTTCCTTGGCCTTTTCTCCAGCCCACTTAGTTTCCTGCAAACAATCAATATTCACTTTCCTTCTAGCAAAAATATCTGCTAACTCCCTCAATTTACCCGTTAAAGTTCCTATGTTCCAGCTTCCCAATCGCATCCTTAACCCCTGGGCTGTACTTGCCCGCCACGCTCGCCTATCTACGTGTTGGGACCTTGACATACTTCTCACCAAATCCAGGTGAAGACCTGGCCCCTTGCCTTGGGGCAAGGACCCTAGCACATTTTTCACTACACTCAGAGCCCGATGCATCGCCTTGCCTTGTGGCAAGGGCCTTAGCCCATTTTTCGCTACACCCGGGGCTCGATGCAACGCGTCGCTATGAAGGGTACGCCCCAACGAAAAATCATATGGGTTCATCACATAAAAATATTGCTGTTTTTTATGGCCGGTTCGCTACACCTGACGCCAACCCTCCTCCTTTATCCTGGCTTGGGACACATGGGCGGAGTTACGTGTAATCTGAAATCTTTGCATTATATAATATGTGGTTTATGTACTGCCCAAACTATCCATGACTCTTTATAAGAGACAAATCAATCGATGCACAAGGATTTTTTTATTTTTATTTTTGAAAAAGTTGCTGAAGTTCTTTAAGGAGTCACTACCTTGTTGCAATGTTGCCACAATTTGATTTCTAACATTTCAGAATTGCAATTAAAATTTTAAAAAGGATTTATTTTAGCAACGTTAGCTGTTGGGTTGTTAACTTTTAGGGTCAGAAAATGGGTTCATTGGTTAAAGGAAGCTGTTATGAAAAAGGATTGTTTCATTGGTAATTTGGTATTAGACAGTAACATGAACAGCGGTAAGGTTGCTTCCTATGGCCGGAAGGTCACGGGTTTGAGTATGGGAAATAAACTCTTTGCAAAAATGTAAGTGTAAGTCTGTGTACAATCAAATCTCACCTCTACCCTTGCAAGTTTGGGAGCCTTGTGCACTGGTCCTTTTGCCCTTTAGATAGTAACACGTACATTGGTTGACTCAAGGTTGAGATTTGAGAAGAATCAAAGGATAAGGAAGGATAAAATGATACCAATTTTCTTGTTTATATATAAGAACATATTAATTGGAAGAAAACAATGACTTTTACATATAAATTAATTCTTTCATGCTAAACTTTGATCTATTCTTACTAATGTGTCACAATTTTACATCAGACCTGACTCATAATGGCTTATCTTCTATGTGGTGCTAGTCTCACATGGATTTCGTGTTTCATGTATATGGTTTGTAGCTGGGCCCTTGTCTCTTATCAGTTAGATGAAACAAGATTAGTGGGTTCCATGTACTAAGTTGCTGGTAAAAATTGATGCACATGGAACGTATTGTTCGGTTCCTCCTTGTTATTTTTATTGTAAAAGGAAACTTTGTTTCAATATCATGTTTACCCTTTGGAGTATCTCTTAGATATGTAGTTAGTTAGTGATCCAGTACATGATATTGCTTTTTCTTTTGTTTTTGTATAGGGTTCTTTTTTTTTTTCCCTAGGTAGTTGTCTCTACTTCATTATGTTAACAGTGCCTCCTTTATCTCTTTTTCTTATTGTTTTTGTTCTTTTCCCCACATTTCAGATACCAAAACTTGTCTATCAAGAAATTATGCAAAGTTCTGAAACTCTCAGTCCAGCTGTTGGCAGTGGTGTCTGCAGAGAATCTTTTCAGAAATATTTTAATATTTTTAGACCACAAAATATCTATCGATCTGTCTTCTCAGAAGACATGCATGTTCAAAGTGGAAACTTTGGTTTTACCCATTTGATGGATTTGTCTCCGCCAGAGGTGACATTTCTGGCTACTGGTTCTTTTATGGAGCAACTATTATTTTCTATGATGAGATGGGAACGAAAATTCATGGATGAAGTTGTAGACTTTCTTACGGAGACCATAGATGATGATCCAGAATTTAGTAACCTTGAGAAAGGAAAAGTAAGAACTGTTACACGGATGTTATTGGTGCCATCTAGATCTGAGGCTAAGTTTCTTCAAAGAAGATTTCCAACTGGGCCTAGCCATGCTCCTTTTGAGGCCTTGGTTGTCTCGCATCGAGATAGGCTTTTATCAAATGCGAGGCTTCTGCACTCAGCTTACACATATATCCCACAAAGTAGAGCTCCCCCAGTATGTTATGTTTCTTTATTACCCAGTCTTCAGTTATTTTTACCAAAATAAGTTGCTTTTATTTTTACAAAATGGTAAATAATTATTGATCTTGTTACTTCTTTTCTTCTTCATAGATTGGTGCGCATTGCTCGGATAGAAACTTCTACTATAAAATGATTGAAGAATTACATGATCCCTGGGTTAAGAGGTTGTTTGTGGGATTTGCACGTACGTCTGATTGTAATGGACCTAGAAAGCCAGATTTTCCTCATCATTTAATACAAGAGATAGATTCTGAACTACCTGTTTCTCAGCCTGCTCTTCAATTAACGCACAGTATTTTTGGTTCTTCTCCGCCTACGCGGAATTTTGACCCAGCAAAATTGCTCACTGTAAGTGCTGTTTTTACTCCTGTTGTTCTTTCTTTCTCATGGAGTGCCCCCTCTTCTCTTGACTTTCATGTTGAATTTATTTTTTTAATTTACATAATTTTCATATAGGACTCTGGGAAGCTTCAAACACTTGATATATTATTAAAACGCTTGAGAGCAGGAAATCATCGTGTACTCTTGTTTGCTCAGATGACCAAGATGCTAAATATTTTGGAGGTATTTTTTAACTTTTCACATTGTTAAATCTTTTGATATTGGTTTTATGTGCGTGTATGTGTGTGTGTATCCCTGGTTTTATGATTCTGATATGTTCAAAGATGTGAAACATGGCTATAAATAAATGAATAGAATTACGAGAGCCTCTTGGTATGAGTTCATTTCCCTTTGGTGTAAATGTTTATGTGAAATCAGCTTGGGAGGAGGCCTGGAAGTTGCATATTTTTTATTTTGTTGCTAAAGCAACTAAATATATCGATGCAATTTTTTCTTATCTGGGAACTCAGGCTATTTGGATAAGTTCAATGATTTAAAAGTGAAAAAATTCCTACCATGTTGAGGATATATTTACACAGCAACATACTTGTTCTACTTGTCTTTGCTCTCGCCCTTCAACTTTTATGGGCTTATTTATAATGCTTATTGGTCATTTAATTCTTCTTGCAGGACTATATGAACTATAGAAAATATAAGTATTTTAGACTTGATGGATCATCTACTATTCAGGATCGCAGAGACATGGTCAGGGACTTTCAGCATAGGTAATGTCTTTGTTGTTAACTTATCATACTGTATGAGTTAGACTACTGAACAATACTTATTTCATTATACAGCTGTTTATGATATTTTTTTTATTAATCTGTTGTAGGGCTGATATTTTTGTGTTCTTACTGAGTACAAGAGCTGGTGGATTGGGTATCAACTTGACAGCTGCCGACACAGTCATATTTTATGAGAGTGATTGGAATCCAACATTGGATCTACAGGCAATGGACAGAGCTCATCGTTTGGGTCAGACAAAAGATGTTAGTTCCATCTCTCCCGCTCTTTCTCCCTTCCATCTCAGTGAATGGTGTCTCTGAATTTTTTTCCTTCAATATCCGGAACTGTTGCTTCCCTTTCCCCTCACTGAATCTTGCACATTTTTGCTCACACAGACACAAAAACTACTCCTTTTGGGTTTACAAGTGTTTTAACTTATTGTTTTAATTCAAAACTAACTTTAGATGTATTTTTAAATTTGTAGGTTACTGTTTACCGACTTATATGTAAAGAGACAGTTGAAGAGAAGATTCTTCATAGAGCTAGTCAGAAAAGTACTGTACAAAACCTCGTCATGACTGGTGGTTCTGTTGGTGGAGATCTTTTAGCTCCTGAGGATGTTGTATCTTTGCTTCTGGATGATGTTCAGTTGGAGCAGAAATTAAAGGATATCCCTCTACAGGTTGGTTGTGAATCTGGTCACGAAAATTCATTAATTTACAAATTGTTTAATATCCGTCTGACTGACTGAATGAAACAATAAGGAAAAATATTAGTTCCAGAAAGCCTAAAACCATTTTGGAAAATTTCCTAATTATATTTTACCTGTCTTATCCTTCCAGGTAAAGGATAAGCAAATGAAAAAACAACCTTCGAAGGGTATTTGGTTAAATGAAGAAGGTGATGCATCTCTGGAAGATCTAACAAACTCTGTAGCCCAGGGTACTCCAGATTATGATATTTCCAAGGACCCAGAGGGATCAAAATCCAGTAATAAAAAGGTATGATTATGCTTCTAATATATTGATTCTAAAAATGCTTGAGTCTCATTTCAATTGGTTGCTTCATACATGTTGAGATATATAGTCCCACATTCCTTGAGAACTCCCACCCTTTGAGCTAGCTTTTGGGGTGGTGACTTCAAGGTTCTTAACATGGTATCAGAGCATTCGAAATCTCACCGCCTCCCACTTTCTTTGTAGTGGAATTTCCACATGTAGGTGGGCTTGTATGTTGTCCACCCTTCAAGCCCAGTGAGCTCTCGTGTGAGGGGGCGTGTTGAGATATATAGTCCCACATTGGTTGTATGTGCAACTAATGTGGAGTTTATAAGGACTTGGGCACTCCCACTCTTTGAGCTAGCTTTTGGAGTGGTGTATCTCAAGGTTCTTTACATGGTATCAGAGCCTCGCCGCCCCTCACTTTCTCTTGTGGCGTTTCTTAGCACAGGTAGGCTGGGCCTGTTGCATTGTTCACTCTTCAAGCCCAATGGGCTCTCGTGTGAGAGGGCATAGCAACTAATGTGGAGTTTATAAGGACTTGGATACTCCCACCCTTTGAGCTAGCTTTTGGGGTGGTGTATCCCAAGGTTCTTTACAATACATAACTGTTAAATTTTATATTGGAAGTTCGTAGTTTCTTGTTTAGGAATGACCTGTTGCATGAGGCATCATAATGTGGTTGAATACACTTCTGCGTTCTTTTACTTAGATCTGTTTACCCAACAAGAAAATTGAAAACTGCTTTATGTTAAGAGTTCTTCGGGTAGTTTCATTGCATTCAGTATATCTATGCTGTTTAGAGGAAAGAAAGATTCTGTGAAAGTCCAGTTAGTTATTACTTCTATAATGTAGAACAGCTCTGATTAGTGAATCAAATTAGATATTAGTGGATAGGGACAAAGGATGAACATTAATTGTTTTTTTTTTCCAACTTTACCCTTGTACTCCTAAAATCTCTTTAGCCTCGACTTCTTATAAACTCCTTAAATTATAATTAACTGCTGTAAATTGAGTAAGGGTGGTATAATAAAAAATTCCCATAATTAAGGCATGGGTTTGTCTCTTAATCTTGTGCCTTTCACCAAACATCACTTATTTTGAACTGGAGGGAATGAAAAGATAGACTGCCAAGAGATTTCAAATGCAGGATAGTTTCTAGGATAGATACTGACTTTTGTGTGGGTAAAGCTGTATTGTTTCAAGGTAGTATGTTCAGATTCAGAAATTATTTTTCGCTTAAAACTGGGGAAAGGAGGCATGGCGTGTGAATTTTTAATGCTTGCATATTTTAGCTGTTTTGCTGGATCAATTGTACATCTACACATTTGGAAATCCGTGGATCTCTTTTTGAGAAGAAAATCATAGGGCATGTAATATTTGGATCTGGATTCTCTTCTGTTAATAACAGGAGAGAGTCCTATTTGAAAGATAAAGACAAAATTAGTTTTGAATTTAACTAGTGGACCCTATAACCTATCATGGTGGGTTCCTACACAATAAAACTTTGTCTATCTCTTTCCAAGAAGATGGTCCTGTGACAGTCGAGGATCCAAGTCCATGGTATTTTGTTGGTTTTTTTTAGGTGTACTGATGTTCATGGAGGTCAAATGTTGCAAGTTTATTGTGAATTTTTTATTTTCAATTTGGTAACATAATGTCTATTTCCAGAGAAAAGCTGCCTCAGATAAGCAAACTTCTAGACCAAAGAATTATCAGAAGATGAGTGAATTGGGTACCACAGCTATGGACGACGAATTGGATGATGTCCACCTAAATACCGATTCAATGGGTCAGAAGCCCAAGAGACCAAAGAGGATAAAGAAGAGTGTGAATGAAAATTTTGATGAGGCTTTTACTCGGACAGATACCGTGGTCTCAGAGCAGACCCAATTTCCACCTCCGCGTGATTTCAGTGCTGGAGGTTCTAAAGCAGAATCAGGCCAAGACACCTGAAGAATTAGTGACAGATACCTCACCATAGTATTTAACCAAGAACTGGGGAGTCACTGTTCTATCAGCCCTGTGGATTGACATTTTTGGGGAGACTGGTTAATTGGCTTTCATAATTGATCAACAGTTGCTAGTTCCCTTTTCATTGGACCTTTTCTGACTGCAAATGGTGGCATCAAACTTGAGCCAAGACAAGGGAAGCTGTATGATATCCTAGGTTGTATGTATATTGTAGTCCCAAATATATGTTGATTATAGATCTGCCCCTCTTCCACTGTGTACAGGGCTTCGTGGTATGTACAGATTGGCCTATCCTTGCTAGGGTTGATTTTTTTTATTATTATTTATTTATTTTGCCACAAGCAAAATTTTTAACTTAAATAATTAATTTTCAGTAGCATTGCTACTCTTGTTACGTCGGCTGCATGACGATTAGCACACTATGATCAATATGATGTTAAGAAAAATCTTGTTTATTTCTTTTCCTACAGAGTAGATGATAGCAACCAATCTTTAATATTGGTTCTTAATTTTCGCTAGTGCTTTAGCAGAAAATAGAAATTTGCTAATATGCTACAATTGCTCAGTGGTCAACTTCGCTCGTTGGCACCCTCACGAGCCTATAGAGAAGGGTTAAGGAAGGTGCAAGACCAATACTGACTTTACTTGATATCATTGATTTGTTCAAATAAGGATGGAATGTATAATGAATGATAAGAACTGCGAATAAAACAAGGCTCGTTAATTTCTCATTAGTCTTTTTCTTTTCTTTTTTTCCTCTCTTTTCCTCCTTGAAACTCAAGTGGAAGATGTTCCACCTCGCCCTTGTGTAGTGTTTTGTTATAACAAATAATCAGTCAGTTCACTCAAAATTGTTACTTTAGACTTTTTATAGATACCCATTTTCGTCCCCAAGTCCCAACCAAACAAAAAATATCTAAGGTTTTCTCTTGTTCCGTAACCCTGAACAAGAAAAATGGAAAAAGTTAATGAGACTTATAGAACAATTTTGATTCAGCTTTTCTCTTTTATATTGATATGTGTTATATTTTAATTTATTTTAATATAAATAAGTATCTTAAAGGACAGCTTTTTTCTCTGTTACTCTCAATGTCTAGTAGCCAGTTTTAATGATAGATTTTATATCATAGATTTTAAAGATATAATAATTTTTCTTGGTGAGATCACAAATCAATAATTCAATAGAAGGTACTGTTAGAAACTTCATTTTAATTTCTCAAAGTGAATGGTATGTGTTGAAAACTAGCTGTAAGTGACATTGAAAGACTCGTTCAAAATGATTTATGGCTGCAAATAGGAAATATAATTTTTTTATTTTTATTTTTATACAAGTGAGAATTGAACACATGATCTAATACAATCTACCCAAACCCTGTTGGGTTTTGCTCTTTTACTAAAGTCCAATAAGGTCCATAGTGTAAGAAGAGTCCAAGAAACCTAAAGCTCATTCTACTTAGGGTTAGGGTTTCTTGGAACCCATATATATTCTACGCTTATAATCATTCTCGATGGTTGCAGAGGCTGAGGTAAGGTCATCTTCCTGAAAGTGAGAGAGTGCCCACACACTTCCCGTTTCCCCTTGAGACATAGTCTGGAAGCTCTGCTACAATCTAGCTTCAAGGAGATTGTTCGTGCTGTGGCGTTGAGGTGAGCTGTTCGTGAAGAGGAATCATATAAGGAAAGATTCTACACGAGACCTGCGCACCAAGAGGTAATTGTGAAACGAGGATGATTCGGTAAGCATACCAATATACTAGGTCCTTAATCGCTTCCGTGTGAATCCAATAGTTCCTACAATTGGTATCAGAGCCTTGGTTGTACATTGGTATGTGAATCTAGTTTCACTATTCGTGTAATTAGTTTTGCTTCGTAAAATATGGCACCTTGGATTCTATATTTGTTATTCAAATATTTGCATGAGTATTATTTTCATTAAAAATTTATTCTTTATATGGTTTTGGCTTTAATCCATGGTAGAAATTTTCTTGTATTTTCTTGGGTTGTAACAAGGAGGCTAATCCCATATGATTAGGTTTCCTCCTTGATGTTTTTATTTATTTTTTGGAATTTTTGTGTATTTTTTTAAATTTTGTAAAAGCTCAAGATCGAGAAACCGCGAGGAAGATGCGCAGTCAGCACTATCATAGACTTTTCGAGGACTTCCTGATCTCATAATGGGGCGATCTGTATATGGTTGGAAAGAGGAAGGAAAGATGAACGCAACGGTGGGTGAATCGCCGCCACCTGAGCTTCCACGCGCCGCCACAAGCGTCTGCGAGTGGCCTCCAATCTTCGGCAAAGAATGAGAGCGTGAGGGAGCGTCCAACCACCTTTTTGGGTGGTTCCGGCGGCGGTGCACTCGTCTCTTCAAGGCGGTCCTTCCCCTGGAGTTTCGTGCTGAGATGAGTTCGGGTGACGGCGCAGTGGACGTGACGGCTAGGGTTCCTGTATGTTGACTTAGGGTTTCTCGCCAAAAGTTGGTATTTTGGGCCTTTGGGCCCATGGCTACCATAAAGAGGCTTGAAACAGAACCTATGGACTATAAGGAAAGGAGCAATCAGTCGCAAAGTTTCCTATTTGATTACTCTGTAATTTTATTTGTTTTAGGAAACCATGGATTAAGGTTATTATTATAGTTAATTGCCTTAATTGTATGATTGAATGATTTATATGATTGATAACATGCTTTATTGCGATTACATGCCATATAGAATAGGTGGTGCCATATTGTTGCATAACTTGTATGATTACATGAGCATAGTAACTATTATGTCTTCAGCGACTAGTATGATAGTTAATATGAGATTATTTTGATTTTAAATATTCTAAAAAATTAATTAATAATTATTATGATTTTTGTTAAAAATCTAGATTAATAATTGAATTAATTAATTTTGGATAATTAACATCAAGACAAATAATCGTTATGGAAATTATTTTGATTTCAAATTATCCTCATAAATGATAATTATTATGATTGTTGCAATCTAGATTAATAATTAAATCAGCTATTTGGATGATTTAGAATCTAGAAAAATAAATAAGAAATTTTCCTAAGAGAATTCTTTTATTTTGCAAGTAATTTGTTGGTCTACTAAAATGGTCATGTGTTAAACATACGCTGCATACCACAATCATGTATCATGATTGTGTGAAGCACAAGCTGCCTATCATTATCGAATTTTAGGACCTTAATGATTTTAAAATTCAGATAAGCTAAGTGATGCACGTTCATCGGCGCTCTTGCTTACATAGTTTTTGAAATCAAACAAAGGATACTCTCAATTAAATAATTCTTGGAAATTGAGAAAATTGCTTATGTTGAATGGAAGGAGATTTAAATTAAGAAATTAATTTAACCTTCAAGTGCATTATAGGACCATTAATAAAATAATCATGTGAAGTCTGTTCCAATAAGCATGATCAGATTTTATTAGATTGGACCTAAATAATTATGGGAGGAGATTTAAATTAAGAAATTAATTAAACCTCCAGGCGCTTTGTGGGCCTACCAATAAAATAATCATGTGAGGCTCCAACAGATAAGCATGATTGGATTTTCTTAGGCCTTAATAATTTTAAAATTTTAATAAAGTATTGTACGGCCCAACGTCTACAATATTAAGTTATTAAAGATATTTTTGAAATTAAACAATAATTCAACTGAGCTTATAAAATTTTCAAATAAAAATATTGAATGGGTGAAGATTTTAAAATTAATTAATTAATTAATTTTAAAACCTGCGAGCTCCATTTGTGGGTCCATTAATAAAATGGTCATGTGAAACCCCAACGGATAAGCATGACTGTAATTTATTTGATTGGACCTTAATAATTTCAAAATTTTAGTAAAGTATTGTACGACCCAACGTAGGCAATGCTTAGATACTATAGATAATTTTGAAATTAAACAATGGTTAACTACATTCAACTTTGGAAAAGTTATTAACCCTCCCAACGAGGCTCTGGTAATGGCACCGAAGGCCCAAATAACAATTTTAGTTTTTACAAGTGACTTGCCCAACGTAAGCCTTGTAAAGATAAACTAAAGGATTGTTAACAATAAACAAGAGTAGTTATGAGAATCTACTTGTACTTCGTTTGTTTATTGCATTATTTGTTTGTAATTGTGTGCTTTATATGTTTTTTCAGAAAATATCTTAGAAATGATTTTGAGTCAAAAACCTCTAAATGGTACCAACTAAGTGGAAAATAATTTTGATATTGTTCTAAAACATGAAAGCTAAAATTTGTCCTGACAGTACAAGGCCATAACAACCTGCAGAGGATGTGTCTAAGGACGCAATACTCAGATTGGAAAAGGACAAATATGGTAGTTCGCTATTATGTCTTTGCCAGTCTTTCCAAACACTTGCATAAGCAAATGCACATGGTTAAGAGTGGAGTAGAGATGCTTCAGACTCTTAATGACATGTTTGTTGTTTCTAGCAGAGCTGCTAAAGTCAACGCAGGTTTTGCTAAAAGTCTTGTTAAATCCAAGGGAAAACCCAAGGGTGGTAACAAGAACAAAATAACTTGGTGATCAGTTGTCAAACCAGTTGCTATGAAGAAGCCGCAAGACAGGTGCTTCAAGAGCAGACTGAAGGGACACTGAAAGAAAAATTGCCCAGAGGTGATGAAAAAAACCAGACATGGGCATATCAAGGCCTGATCAGTGAATGAATTATTGATTCAGGAATCACTGATTATGTTTGTTACTCTTTACAGTAGTTCAAACATGGCATACCTGTCAGCAATGTACATAGATATTTTAAGCTTGAAAATGAGAACTTGTGTCTGCATTTGCAGTAGGACAAGTTATTTATAAGACTATGGTTTTGGGTGACTGTTTATTTGTTCCAGATTTCAAGAGGAATTCAATTATTGTTAGTTGTTTTGGTTAAAACATGGTTTGACAATGCAATTGATTCCTCAGTTACATTTCGGATTTCATCTTCGTCTTGTTTGTTCTGGTACATTGTTCAAATAGTCTTTATTACCTTTGTCCTATACCCCTAAATTTATTGTGTTGAATGGAAAGGATGATGAGCAAGAACTTTCACCAAAGAAATTAAAGATTCAAATGAAACATATTTTAGGCTTTTATGATTGAGTCAGATTACCTCAAATAGAAAACATGGTTTAGTTAAAAGAAGGACTGAAAGTTCAAGAATCTTTTAACTAAAAGCTACATGTTGGTCCTATTTGGAAGGTAAAATAGCCAAGCAATCCTACAAGGCCAAAAAGATTTACGCAACTATTCAACTGGAACTGGTACATACTAATGTATGTGGACCAATTAGCGTTCAAGCCAGAAGAGGTGATGAGTACTTTATTATATAAATGTTTACTCTAGATTTGGATAGATGAACC